CATTATATAGTGTCCTTCTTTGTCTCTTCTAATAGTCTTTATTTTAAAGTCTATTTTGTCTGATATGAGAATTGCTACTCCAGCTTTCTTTTGGTTTCCATTTGCATGGAATATCTTTTTCCATCCCCTCACTTTCAGTCTGTATGTGTCCCTAGGTCTGAAGTGGGTCTCTTGTAGACAGCATATATATGGGTCTTGTTTTTGTATCCATTCTGCCAGTTGTATCTTTTGGTTGGAGCATTTAATCTATTTACATTTAAGGTAGTTATCAATATTTATGTTCCTATTACCATTTTCTTAATAGTTTTTGGTTTGTTATTGTAGGTCTTTTCCTTCTCTTATGTTTCCTGCCTAGAGAAGTTCCTTTAGCATTTGTTGTACAGCTGGTTTGGTGGTGCAGAATTCTCTTATCTTTTGCTTGTCTGTAAAGGTTTTAATTTCTCCGTCGAACCTGAATGAGATCCTTGCTTGGTAGAGTAATCTTGGTTGTAGGTTTTTCCCATTCTTTGCTTTAAATATGTCCTGCCACTCCCTTCTGCCTTGCAGAGTTTCTGCTGAAAATTCAGCTGTTAACCTTATGGGGATTCCCTTGTATGTTATTTGTTGCTTTTCCCTTGCTGCTTTTAATATTTTTTCTTTGTACTTAATTTTTGATAGTTTGACTAATATGTGTCTTAGCCTGTTTCTCCTTGGGTTTATCCTGTATGGGACTCTCTGTGCTTCCTGGACTTCATTGACTATTTACTTTCCCATATTAGGGAAGTTTTCAACTATAATCTCTTCAAATATTTTCTCAGTTCCTTTGTTTTTCTTTTCTTCTTCTGGGACCCCTATAATTCAAATGTTGGTGCATTTAATATTGTCCCAGAGGTCTCTGAGAGTGTCCTCAATTCTTTTCATTCTTTTTTCTTTATTCTGTTTTACAATAGTTATTTCCACTATTTTGTCTTCCAGGTCACTTATCTGTTCTTCTGCCTCAGTTATTCTGCTATTGATTCCTTCTAGAGAATTTTTAATTGTATTTGTTGTGTTGTTTATCTTGTTTGTTTGCGCTTTAGTTTTTCCAGGTCCTTGTTAAACATTTCTTGTAATTTCTCCATTCTATTTCTGAGATTTTGGATCATCTTTACAGTCATTATTCTGAATTCTTTTTCATGTAGACTGCCTATTTCCTCTTCATTTGTTTGGTGTGGTGGGTTTTTACCTTGCTCCTTCATGTGCTGTGTGTTTCTCTGTCTTCTCATTTTGCTTAACTTACTGTGTTTGGGGTCTCCTTTTCGCAGGCTGTAGGTTCGTAGTTCCCGTTGTTTTTGGTGTCTGCCCTCAGTGTCTAAAGTTGGTTCAGTGGGTTGTGTAGCTTTCCTGGTGGAGCGGACTAGTGCCTGTGTTCTGGTGGATGAAGCTGGATCTTGTCTTTCTAGTCAGCAGGACCACGTCCGGTGATGTGTTTTGGGGTATCTGTGACCTTATTATGATTTTAGGCAGCCTCTCTGCTAATGGATGGGGTTGTGTTCCTGTCTTGCTAGTTGTTTGGCACAGGGTGTCCAGCACTGTAGCTTGCTGGTCGTTGAGTGGAGCTGGGTCTTTGTGTTGAGATGGAGATCTCTGGGAGAGCTTTCGCCGTTTGATATTACATGGAGCTGAGAGGTCTCTGGTGGACCAGTGTCCTGAACTCAGCTCTCCCACCTCAGAGGCACAGGCCTGACACCCCACCAGAGCACCAAGCACACGGCATGTGGCAGGCAAAGTAATGGTCCTCCAAAGACACGGACATCCACATCCCTGGAACCGCCTGGCTGGTGTGCAGCCATGGGGACCTGGAGCTGCCGGAGGGACAGGGCGGTGGCCTGAGGTGCACAGGGTGACCTAGTGTCCTCGGGGTCAGAGCCAGGCCATCTGCACCACCCGCACTGCCCAGCACACCAGGGATTCCGCCTGGGCTTGACAGGTGTCTGCACCCCAGATTCACGTCTGAGGCCCCTGGGAATTCACTTTTAGAGAAACTCTGTAGACAATCCCTTTATATTTATCTAAATATACGTTTGTTAGATTTTCTTAAAACAAGATATAACTATTTGTACTTAGAAAATATAATCTAATCATTGTTTTCAATCATAATGATCATAAGATCTTCACAGGATTTTAGCCACTAAAATTCTCTAAACTTTACAGGCTTAATAATTTCAGAAGAGTTTTCAATTCAAATCTCAGCTCTTTTGAAAAATGAACAAAAAGCATATAAGCTCTTTAGCTTATATTTTACATACAAGCTCTTCGAGTAAATAGTAGTGTTTTTTGAGTTATAGTTTTGGTGTGACTTTTAGATTTTATATCACGTTGGAAAGTAAGTTTAAAATTTTTTTTACTTGTTTGTAATTAAAGGGTTGTATTCATAAAAGCTTCTGAGAAGGCATAGTATTTCTCACACTTTTAAAAAGTTAGATTTGTGGGGAGAACATAACATTTTGAAGATATGTGTACTTTACAATTAAAAATATGAAAGATACATCTAAGTCCATCACTTCAGAGCTATTCCTTGTTATTTACAATAAGTTTTGAGTAAAGTTGAAGCAATTAAGTGTGTTGATTAAAAAAAGCAATGAGAACCTTTCTTTTTCCTTTCCCTTACTTTCTCAAACCATTTATTACTAAAGACATTAAGTAGAGCAGAGCAAGGTAGGCATTCATGCAAAGTAGCAGTGTAGTACCACTTCAGCCCAGAACAAGATGTCAGAACCTGAGCAGGATGAGAAGGGCATCCACATATCCGGTAGAGGGAGGGTTGGTAATCCAGCATGAAGTGTCAAAGTCCAAGTGAAGTGAGTGGAGTGTCCACATGTAGGAACAGTTATAAGGGTATAAGACTCCTATCAGATTAAGGGGGGGTGACCCTGCATAGGACAAACCAAACATTGGCTCAGGTGGGGTGAGAATTATAGCCAGGCATGTGGGTGGGTCCATTGTAGAGAATCAGAGCCCAAGTGGAGGAGATAATGTCCATGCAGGCAAGGGGACAGTGGCAGAGATAAGATATTTGTTACATACAGGGGACTGGATAAATAAGTAAATATATCGGGTAATAAAAAGGGAGCCAGGTTTCCCACTGTCAGAAATGGAAGTTATAACTATGGAAATGAAGAAAACTACAATGAACCGTAGTAATATTGGATTGGAATTGGAGGTACTGATGTAGACTTGGTGTTTTTGTTAAATACTTGCCAAATAGAGAAATAAATATAGATATGCGTGTGTGTGTGTGTGTGTGTACACATATATATGTATTCCCTAACTCTGCCAACTGAGCAGGGCTAGGAGCCACAGTTCCCCAGTAGTAAAAATTTTAGCCTTATATATTCCACTTTCCACTAGGACTCATTGGAGTATGGTTGATTCCAGGGAGAGAAAGTACAAAATGAGCCTGAAACATTTTCTTGGGTCAGAAAGCAAGAAAAGTACTTAAAACATGATGGAACATGTCCAGAGGACCCAGACGTCAGCTTGAAGAGGCTATGCTCTCTGCTGCGGATATTAAAAGCACCAGCAGGAACCCACAGGCCCCTAAAACTCTGAGGGAGGAGAACCTGTCTCTCGTATCTTAGGAGCCATTGTTCCAAGAGCCTACAGCAAGCCCCGTTCCTCTTTTTCTTTTTGTCCTCTAACTGCTTCGTCATAATTGCAGGAAATACACAATGGAGCAGGGTACCTAAAGCCAAAGCTTTCTGGCTGGAGCACTAAAAAGGGAAGAAACTGGAAAGTACCAGGGAGATTGCAGAAGGAAGGAGCTCAGGAAGGCAACCCCATAAAGTTGTTTATGAATTCCTGGGCTCACCTCTGAGTTGTACGTGCATGAATCTGATCCTAAACAGCATTCCAAAGACTGAGAGGTGAAGGACTAGATGACCTCCAAGTTCGCGTACTGGCTGCTGGGCAGTGGGACAGATCCCAGTAGCACTGCAAACATTTTAAAAATAGAATCCATGATGGAAACGGCTCACAGAGGCTGGTAGGAGCTTTGGCCTGAACCCGTCGAGGCTAATTACCTGCTAAAACAAAAATATCAGCTTTCTCCTAGTATTTAAACAAAACCCTGAATCCAGTAACCTACTTCAGTATATCTAAAATACAATATTTATTTGTAAGCATGAGAATGTTGGAGAACCTGTCATTGATCTTTATTACCAGCCTTTGTCATATTTAGGGAGTAAGGATAATTTAAAGATAGAAAATCAATGGGTTATCAGTCAGTATGTTTTGAAAAAATTATTCTTGTTTTTATTCTATAATAAAGTATAACAATTCTGAGTTCTTACGTATTGGGACACACTTTGAAGTGAGAGTACATATTGGTATTTGTTGAATAGTGAAACTGAGTTACCCATGACCCAGTACTGAGGGGAAAATAAAAGGATTCTCTGGACAGTCTCGGGCTTTGGATAATAGAAGTAGTAGCTCAAAGGATGCACTGCAAGCAAGAAATTTCTCTGAAATCTTTTGTTTTGTGTTAAAATTTCAGGCAGATATAATCTGCATAATACAATGGTGTTTATTATACTATAGACATATCGTTTTTCCAAATCTTCATAGACCCTTCAGAAAGGGGAGAAATGTATATTTAGTGGCTCCAATTTCAAAAGTATGACCTTAGGCTCAGTTAGATGATTTTAGCCAGCAGGTTTTCATAACCCAGTACCTAACGGGACCATGCAACTGGTTTCCCAGGATAGTCCCATTTATATACCAGTTGTCCTTACATACTTATTACTAGCATCCCCCTTTACATCTCAAAAGTGTACTATTTCAGAATTGTATGATTATCCTACCTATACCTTTTTGAGTTTAGATCTGAAACATAAATCACAACACTATAGACAGTTTGGAAGATAGAATAGAGGTGCTTCCATAGCTTATCCCTGTAATCCCATAGTATTTAATCTTTTTCCATATCTGTGTTTTACATGGTTGTAATTTAGTGCCTATAACGTTAAATGATTTGAATCAAGAACCTTAGTTTGTCTTGTCACATTTATGTATGCCTTGAGATTATAGTGTTGACTATAATACATAACAACCAGAATTATGAAAGTCTTTTTTTCCTTATCTATTTCCCCTTTGTAGCAGGAACTCCAGAAGATAAAATGAGGCTGTTTCTTATCTATTACATAAGTGCACAGCAAGCACCTTCTGAGGTATGTCCTCTGTATTCAGTTATTGGGAGGAAGGGAGAATACTCGCTTGTTTCAGAAAATAGAAGTAAAAATCACTGTAACCAAGTAATTACTTCATTCCTTCCTTTAAAAGAAAAACAATTTTGTAAGGCTAGTTCTATTTACCGCTGAATATTATAGCAGTATTTATTGTCACCAAGAGAACTATTTACTCATGAAATATCTCACCACTTTTAAGTTGTTAGAATATGAACTGAATTCATGACCAAAATTCTTATTTCTGGAAAATAACTATTCTAAACTAAGTTAACCAAGTTTGCTCTGCCTTTTGAAAGATTGATCTTATCATTTCTCATGATGTGATGATCCTAGAAGTTCCATTTCTTTGAGCTATAGCCACTAATACTTATTTTCCTTACAAGGAATTTCGCTTTAACCTAAAGTAAAAGTTTGGTAATATTTTGCTGTTGTTTTAAAACTAATGTCGAGGGACTTCCCTGGTGGTGTAGTGGTTAAGAATCCGCCTGCCAGTGCAGGGGGATATGGGTTTGATTCCTGGCCCAGGAAGATCCCACGTGCTGCAGAGCAACTAAGCCCGTGCGCCACAACTACTGAGCCTACGCTCTAGAGCCTGCGAGCCACAACTACTGAGCCCTCAACTACTGAAGCCCGTGTGCCTATAGCCTGTGCTTCACAACAAGAGAAGCCACCACAGTGAGAAGCGCCCGCACCGCAATGAAGAGTAGCCCCCCTCACCACAACTAGAGAAAGCCCACGTGCAGCAACGAAGACCCAACACAGCCAAAAATAAACAAACAAATTAAAAAAAAAAAACAAAAAAACTAATGTCCATTATAGAATATAGAGAAGTCACTTGGAGGAAAATATCTAAATTTCCAAAAGTTATATAAATATTGTATCAATAATTTCCTAAGATTAAACTTCAGATTCACATCTATCATTTGATCCATATAAAAATAAAGTTGAGAGACTGTATTGCAGTAAAAAAGCTACTTTTTATATCAGAATAAATTTCTAAGAATGATTGGAAAATCTATCTTCCTTTCTAGATTTTTTTCTCACTGGAAGAGTAGATTGTGGGATATTTTGTTGTTTTCTTTTTCTGTAATAAGCCATCAATTGCTTTTGAGGAAAAAAATTTTTTTAAGTATGTAGAGGTAATACTGTGAAGGAAAACTGATTTTGCTATCAGTCTTGTTGCTGGGTTAGAGACCTGTTAACTCTTTCTAATGTTAACTTCGTATAATTTTACTGGATGAGCAACTAGCATAAGGAACTTGGGAATGACACCTAGAATGATATGGCTGTTGTAAACTCCTTTCCTTTGCTGGTAGCAATTATTTTTCTAATGTCGGTAGATTGTAAGGCTTCTTTTTGTTTGGCATGTTAAAGCAGCAAAGTAAACCCAATATTTGCTTTAGATCAATTCTGCTTTATCCTAAGAATACATTTCTTGACTTTTAATTCAGTAAGGAAGTTCAGTAGTCCCCCCTTATCCAAGGGAGATATGTTCCAGGACCCCCAGTGGATGCCTGAAACCATGGAGAGTACCAAACTTTCCCCCCCCCACTACCATATATACTGTTTTTTTCTATACATACATACATACATACCTATGATAAAGTTTAATTTATAAATTAGGCACAGTAAGAGATTAACAACAACTAATAATAAATTAGAATAATTATAACAATATGCTATAATAAAAGTTATGTGAATGTGGACTCTCTCTCTCAAAATATATTGTACTGTAGTCATCCTTCCTATGATGATGATGTGAGCTCATAAAATGCCTGCATGATGAGATGAAGTGAGGTGAATGACACAGGCATGGTGATGTAGCATTAGGCTACTGTTGACCTTCTGACTGAAGGAGAATCATCTACTTCAGATGATCCTGTGTCATCAAGCCATGATGGTGTCGATTGTTAGATGTCAGGAGCAGATGATGTCAATGGTTGGGGCAGGACTGATCAGGAAAGCACAAGTTTTCATCACACTACTCAAAACGGCACACAATATGAATTGTTTATTTCTGGGAATTTCCATTTAGTATTTTCAGACCTCAGTTGACCACAGCAGCTGAAACCATGGAAAGCAAAACTGCTGAAGGGAGGGGATTACTGTATAGTTTTCTTTCTAGAAACATCTCTGTCATTAATGGGGGTGTTCCTTTAAGGGATTCTAATAGCCTATTTATATTTTCTTAGGAATATATGATTTTAAAACTTAATGCAGTTTCCCTTCATTTGACCACATTATTTTATTTCATTTATTTTTGGTAAGAATTATGTCTTTTCATAAGTTTAAGTGGTCATTAAGTGGCTTGACACAAATTTTGACTACTGATGTAATAGCCCCCAAAATGCAAAGTAGTGAACATCTCTGATTTGATGGTGAGCTTAAAAGTTTCTTTCTTTTAAATTTTTATAATGGAGTCACTGTGATGATAGGCTCCCGTGACATATCCGAATTCAACTAGACTTTACTCATCAGGAAATAAAAAAAGAAAAAGAAAGAAAACTACTTAAAAAGTGTAGGACACCTGCTGTTCAGTTAATAAATTTGGACCTCTGCAGTGAATATGAGATGGGATAACCTGAATCTGCAGGTCCCCTAAGTCAACGTCATTCCCCTCATGTTTCCAGTTTTGGAATATTCTTGATCAAGCCAGATCTTTCATTTAATGCTTATCCTAAGGACAAGCAATCTGTGTCAACAGTGGAGGAAAAACTGTGTTAGGCTTACTGAGGGATGACAAAATACTGTACTTTATAGGTGATTTGGGAGCCTATCAAAGGTAATTTTCATTATACGTGATTTTTATCTCATGCTCATTTGGGTACTCCCTTAAGATACCACGCCACTCTACTTAGGTGCTCATGCCTTTAGTCTAACTTTCTGATTAATCCAATGATAACAAACAAAATGGTCTCTTTCATGAAAGTAAAAGTTTTTGTCATATGATTCTTTTCTTATTTCAGGCTGATTTGGAGCAATACAAAAAAGCTTTAACTGATGCTGGATGCAACCTTAATCCCTTACAATATATCAAACAGTGGAAGTAAGTTTTATTTTATTCTTCAGTTCTTACCATTTAAGAGAGTACAATGGAAGTTGAGTTCCCAAGAAAATGGGAATGTTACTAAGAAAACTGAACAGTGCCTTGGTATTTTTTTTTATTCAATGGCATAAATATTTCCTTATCTCCCCCACCCTTTCCACAACTTTATATAAAATAGTGATGCCTTTCTTTCCTAGACATATTTTTTCCTATATTTTCTTCAAAGATGTGAGATGAGAAAGTCAAAGACTGAAATGTTGTGGGTCAAATGTCTCAAAAACATTTTTTAAATGTTTTAATTTCACTAATAATCAGAGAAATGCAGATTAATATAATGCAGAGATTTCGAAAATATTGTGCCAAGGATCCAGGAAAATTAACTGATGCATTTATACTCTACTATTAGAAATATAAATTGTCAAAATTTTGCTGGCTGGTATAAAAAGTTTTTTAAAAGAATAGCTTTGACCTAGCACTTCTCTTAAGAATTAATCTCGAAGAAGAAATTGGAGTTGTAAAATCTTAGAAGCGATTGTAATAATCGAATTTTGAAAATCAACCTGAATGTCAAGGATTGAAATTATGTCATTTCCACAGGAATGCAACTGAGTCATTAAAAATCATGTTGTGGACGACTTACCCTAATGACCATTGAGAAATGGCCATGTTATGTTACAAAGTGAAGTATAGTTTACTATTCAATGATTTGTTTGATAAATAACTTCCTTTGTCTCAGTGACTAGGGACTCTTCTAGACATTAAGAATACAATAGTGGAGGGCTTCCCTGGTGGCGCAGTGGTTGAGAGTCCGCCTGCCAATGCAGGGGACACTGGTTCGTGCCCCAGTCCGGGAAGATGCCGTGGAGCGGCTGCGCCCGTGAGCCATGGCCACTGAGCCTGCGCGTCTGGAGCCTGTTGCTCTGCAACAGGAGAGGCCACAACAGTGAGAGGCCTGCGTACCGCAAAAAAAAAAAAAAAAAAAAGAACACAATAGTGGGGCTTCTCTGGCGTCGCAGTGGTTAAGAATCCGCCTGCCAATGCATGGGACACGGGTTCGAGCCCTGGCCCGGGAAGATCCCACATGCTGCGGAGCAACTAAACCCATGCGCCACAACTACTGAGCCTGTGCCCTAGAGCTCACGTGCCACAACTACTGAGCCCATGTGCCACAACTACTGAAGCCCGTGTGCCTAGAGCCCGTGCTCTGCAACAAGAGAAGCCACTGCAATGAGCAGCCCGTGCCCCGCAACAAAGAGTATCCCCTGCTCGCCACAACCAGAGAAAGCCCATGCACAGCAACAAAGACCCAACACAGCCAAAAATAAAAATAAATAAAATTTATTTTTAAAAGAATACAATAGTAAACATGCTATGGAAGGCTCCTACTTTCACTGAATTTACATTTGTGTTGAGGGAACAATAAGTCAATAAGCAAACAAATGAACAGAGTTCTGTTAAACCATATTCACCATATTAAGTGATATAAAGAAAATAAAACTAAGTGATAAGATCTTAATTTGTTGAGGTATTAGCTAAATTTGTTGAGGAGATCAGGGTAAGCCTCTGGGTAGGTAACACTTGAGCCAAAACTTAGATGACATTTTTTACATTACGATCCCTATTATCTAACCATTTATCCATCCATTTGTGTGTGTGTGTGTGTATGGACATACACATATATACATATAAGTGCATAGCTAAAATTCTGTTCACTTAAATGCTAATAGTGGGTAACTCTGAGTAGTAGAATTTCTTTCCTTTTGGGTTCTTTATTTCCAAATTTTCTACAACAGTATCTTCAGATTATTTATTAAAATAATTTTTTTTTAAGACTAGAGGATGGAATATGCTTCTGATCTCAAGTGTATCAAAAAAATATGCATAGAAGAGAAATATACCAAGTTGTTAACAGCTATATCGCTGAGTTATGATTGCATTTTATTATCTATATTTCTGTTTGGTTTTTTTCCAATTTGCTTTTATTTCACTGTTTTCTTTTTTTTGGAATTTTATTTTTTATACAGCAGGTCCTTATTAGTTATCTATTTTTTACATATTAGTATATATATGTCAATCCCAATCTCCCAATTCATCCCACCACCACCACAACCCCCCGCCACTTTCCCCCTTTGGTGTCCATACGTTTGTTCTTTACATCTGTGTCTCTGTTTCTACCCTGCAAACCAGTTCATCTGTACCATTTTTCTAGGTTCCATATATGCGTTAATACATGATATTTGTTTTTCTCTTTCTGACTTCACTCTGTATGACAGTCTCTAGATCCCTCCACGTCTCTGCAAATAACTCAATTTCGTTCCTTTTTATGGCTGAGTAATATTACATTGTATATATGAACCACATCTTTATCCATTCGTCTGTCAGTGGACATGTAGGTTGCTTCCATGACCTGGCTATTGTAAATAGTGCTGCAGTGAACATTGGGGTGCATGTGTCTTTTTGAATTATGGTTTTATCTGGGTATATGCCCAGTAGTGGGATTGCTGGGCCATATGGTAATTCTATTTTTATTATTTTTATTTATTTATTTTTGCTTTTCTTTTTCTTTTTGCGGTACGTGGGCCTGTCACTGTTGTGGCCTCTCCTGTTGCGGAGCACAGGCTCCGGACGCGCAGGCTCAGCGGCCATGGCTCACACTCCTAGCCACTCCGCGGCATGTGGGATCTTCCTGGACCAGGGCACGAACCTGTGTCCCCTGCATTGGCAGGCAGACTCTCAACCACTGCGCCACCAGGGAAGCCCCTATTTTTAGCTTTTTAAAGAACCTCCATACTGTTCTCCATAGTGGCTGTATCAATTTACATTCCCACCAACAGTGCAGGAGGGCTCCCTTTTCTCCACACCCTCTCCAGCATTTATTGTTTGTAGACTTTTTGATGATGGCCATTCTAAATGGTGTGAGGTGATACCTCATTGTAGTTTTGATTTGCATTTCTCTAATAGTGATGTTGACCAGCTTTTCATGTGCTTCTGGCAATCTCTATGTCTTCTCTGGAGAAATGTCTGTTTAGGTCTTATGCCCATTTTTTGATTGGGTTGTTTGTTTTTTTTAATATTGAGCTGCATGAGCTGTTTATATATTTTAGAGATTAATCCATTGTCTGTTGATTCTTTTGCAAATATTTTCTCCCATTCTGAGGGTTGTCTTTTCGTCTTGTTTGTAGTTTCCTTTGCTTTGCAAAAGCTTTTAAGTTTCATTAGGTCCCATTTTTTTATTTTTGTTTTTATTTCCATTACTCTAGGAGGTGGATCTGAAAAGATCTTGCTGTGATTTATGTCACAGAGTGTTCTTCTTCTTCCTATGTTTTCCTCTAAGAGTTTTATAGTGTCCGGTCTTACATTTAGGTCTCTAATCATTTTGAGTTTATTTTTGTGTATGGTGTTAGGGAGTGTTCTAATTTCATTATTTTACATGTAGCTGTCCATTTTTCCCAGCACCACTTATTGAAGAGACTGTCTTTTCTACATTGTATATCCTTGCCTCCTTTGTCATAGATTAGTTGACCATAGGTGCATGGGTTTACCTCTGTTTTTGTGCCAGTACCATATTGTCTTGATTACTGTAGCTTTGTAGTATAGTCTGAAGTCAGGGAGTCGGATTTCTCCAGCTCCGTTTTTTTCCCTCAGGACTGCTTTGGCTATTTGGGGTCTTTTGTGTCTCCATACAAATTTTAAGATTTTTTGTTCTAGTTCTGTAAAAAATGCCACTGGTAATTTGATAGGGACTGCTTTGAATCTGTAGATTGCTTTAGGTAGTATAGTCATTTTCACAGTATTGATTATTCTAATCCAAGAACATGGTATATCTCCATCTGATTGTGTCATCTTTCATTTCTTTCATCAGTGTCTTATGGTCTTCTGAGTACAGGTCTTTTACCTCCTTAGGTAGGTTTATTCCTAGGTATTTTATTCTTTTTGTTGCAGTGGTGAATGGGATTGTTTCCTTATTTCTCTTTATGATCTTTCGTTGTTAGTGCATAGGAATGCAAGAGATTTCTGTGCATTAATTTTGTATCCTGCAACTTTACCAGATTCATTGATTAGCTCCCATAGTTTTCTTGTGCCATCTTTAGGATTCTCTATGTATAGTATCATGTCATCTGCAAACAGTGACAGTTTTACTTCTTCTTTTCCAATTTATATTCCTTTTATTTCTTTTTCTTCTTTGATTGCCATGGCTAAAACTTCCTAAATTATGTTGAATAATAGTGGTGAGAGTGGGCACCCTTGTCTTGTTCCTGATCTTAGAGGAAATGCTTTCAGTTTCTCACCATTGAGAATGATGTTGGCTGTGGGTTTGTCATATATGGCTTTTATTATGTTGAGGTAGATTCCCTCTATGTCCACTTTCTGGAGTGTTTTTATCATAAATCAGTGTTGAATTTTGTCAAAAGCTTTTCTGCATCTCTTGAGATCATATGGTTTTCCTCCTTCAATTTGTTAATATGTTGTATCACATTGATTGATTTGCATATATTGAAGAATCCTTGCATCCTTGGAATAAATCCCACTTGACCATGGTGTATGATCCTTTTAATGTGTTGTTGGATTCTGTTTGCTAGTATTTTGTTGAGGATTTTTGTGTCTATATTCATCAGTGATATAGGTCTGTAATTTTCTTTTTTGTAGTATCTTTGTCTGGTTTTGGTATCAGGTTGATGGTGGCCTCATAGAATGAGTTTGGGAGTGTTCCCTCCTCTGCAATTTTTGGAAAGTTTGAGAAGGATGGGTGTTAGCTCTTCTCTGAATGTTTGATAGAATTCCCTGTGAAGCCATCTGGTCCTGGACTTTCGTTTGTTGGAAGATTTTTAATCACAGTTTCAATTTCATAACTTGTGATTGGTCTGTTCATATTTTCTGTTTCTTCCTGGTTCAGTCTTGGAAGGTTATACCTTTCTAAGAATTTGTCCATTTCTTCCAGGTTGTCCATTTTATTGTAATAGAGTTGCTTGTAGTAGTCTCTTATGATGCTTTGTATTTCTGCAGTGTCCATTGTAACTTCTCCTTTTTCATTTCTAATTTTATTGATTTGAGTCCTCTCCCTCTTTTTCTTGATGAGTGGCTAAAGGTTTATCAATTTTGTTTATCTTCTCAAAGAACCAGCTTTTAGTTTTCTTGATTTTTGCTCTTGTTTTCTTTGTTTCTATTTATTTCTGCTTTGATCTTTATGATTTCTTTCCTTCTACTAACTTTGGGTTTTGTTTGTTCTTTCTCTAGTTCCTTTAAGTATAAGGTTAGATTATGTATTTGAGATTTTTCTTGTTTTTTGAGGTAGGCTTGTATTGCTATAAACTTCCCTCTTAGAACTGCTTTTGTTGCAGCCCATAGGTTTTTCATCATCGTGTTTTTGTTGTAATTTGTCTCTAGGTATTTTTTGATTTCCTTTTTGATATCTTCAGTGATCTCCTGGTTATTTAATAGCATACTGTTTAGCCTCCATGTGTTTGTGTTTTTTATGGTTTTTTCCCTGTAATTGATTTCTAATCTCATAGCATTGTGGTCAGAAAAGATGCTTTATATTATTTCAATTTTCTTATATTTACCGAGGCTTGATTTGTGACCCAAGAGGTTATCTGTCTTGTCGAATGTTCCATGTGCCCTTGAGAAGAAAGTGTAATCTGCTGTTTTTGGATGGAATGTTCTATAAATATCAATTAAATCTATCTGGTCTATTGTGTCATTTAAAGCTTGTGTTTCCTTATTAATTTTCTGTCTGGATGATCTGTCCATTGGTGTAAGTGAGCTATTAAAGTCCCCCAATATTATTGTGTTACTATCAGTTTCCTCTTTTATAGCTGTCAGCAGTTGTCTTATGTATTGAGGTGCTCCTGTGTTGGGTGCATATATATTTATAATTGTTATATCTTCTTCTTGGATTGATCCCTTGATCACTATGTAGTGTCCTTCTTTGCTTCTTGTAATAGTCTTTATTTTAAAGTCTGTTTTATCTGATATGAGAATTGCTACTCCAGCTTTCTTTTGATTTCCATTTGCGTAGAATATCTTTTTCTATCCCCTCACTTTCAGTCTGTTATGTGTCCCTAGGTCTGAAGTGGGTCTCTTGTAGATACCATATATATGGGTCTTGTTTTTGTATCCATTCAGCAAGCCTGTGTCTTTTGGTTGGAGCATTTAATCCATTCACGTTTAAGGTAATTATCAATATGTATGTTCCTATTACCATTTTCTTAATTTTAATGGGTTTGTTTTTGTAGGTTCTTTTCTTCTCTTGTGTTTCCCACTTAGAGAAGTTCCTTCAGCATTTGTTATAGAGCTGGTTTGGTGGTGCAGAATTCTCTTAGCTTTTGCTTGTCTGTAAAGCTTTTGATTTCTCCGTTGAATCTGAATGAGATCCTTGCTGGGTAGAGTAATCTTGGTTGTAGGTTCTTCCCTTTCATCACTTTAAATATATCATGCTACTCCCTTCTTGCTTGTAGAGTTTCTGCTGAGAAATCAGCTCTTAACCGTATGGGAGTTCCCTTGTATGTTATTTGTCATTTTTCCCTTGTTGCTTTCAATAATTTTTCTTTGTCTTTAATTTTTGTCAATTTGATTACTGTGTGTCTCGGCATGTTTCTCCTTGGGTTTATCCTGTATGGGACTCTCTGCGCTTCCTGGACTTGGGTGGCTATTTCCTTTCCCATGTTACGGAAGTTTTTGACTATAATCTCTTCAAATATTTTCTCGGGTCCTTTCTCTCTTCTTCTCCTTCTGGGACCCCTATAATATGAAAGTTGTTACGTTTAATGTTGTATCAGAGGTCTCTTAGGCTGTCTTCATTTCTTTTCATTCTTTTTTCTTTATTCTGTTCCACAGCAGTGAATTCCACCATTCTGTCTTCCAGGTCACTTATCCGTTCTTCTGCCTCAGTTATTCTGCTGTTGATTCCTTCTAGTGTATTTTTCATTTCAGTTATTGTGTTGTTCATCTCTGTTTGTTTTTTAATTCTTCTAGGTCTTTGTTCTTTAATTCTTCTAGGTCTTTGTTAAACATTTCTTGCATCTTCTTGATCTTTGCCTCCATTCTTTTCCTGAGGTCCTGGATCATCTTCACTATCATTATTCTGAATTTTTTTTCCGGAAGGTTGCCTATCTCCACTTCATTTAGTTGTTTTTCTGGGGTTTTATCTTGTTCTTTCATCTGGTACATTGTCCTCTGTGTTTTCATTTTGTCTGTCTTTCTGTGAATGTGGTTTTCATTCCACAGGCTGCAGAATTGTAGTTCTTCTTGCTTCTGCTGTCTGCCCTCTTCACTGTGTTCTTATGATAAGAAAAAAGTAGACAACAAACCTTAGTTTAACAAAAGAAACCGAAAACTGTCTTTTCTAATTTTTATAACATATACACTTAAATATTTGGCTGTGTCGTATATGTCATTGTGTTTTACATTATGACTTATGTGGAACTCCCTAATCAAATATTTGGTGTTAAAAGAGGAAAGGCAGTCTTGGGCATCATTTTACATGGTTACAAAGTATTCAATATATAATTTCTAATTTGTAACATTCTTTCTAATTATAAGGGTTATATCAGTTTATTGAAGAAAATTTTAGGAAACTCAGAAAGGTATAAGGAAAGTAAAAATTTAGCCGTAGTCTCCCCATTCAGAGTCTACCATAAACCGTATTGTTTATCCTTCTATATGCATATTACATATTTATATTTTTAATCAGGAAATCATTGTTATAGATGCAGTTTGTATTCTAGAGTTCCAATTACTTTCATTATGCCAGTTTTTCATCGTCTTAAATACAGCTGACCCTAGAACTACTTGGGGGTTAGGGACGCCAACCCTCTGCACAGTTACAAATTGAAGTATTACTTTACAGTGGGCTGGCCCTCTGTATCCCTGGTTCCACATCCATGGATTCAACCAACCACAGATCATGTAGTACTGTAGTATTTATTGATACAAATATGAGTATAAGTGGACCTGCATAGTTCAAACCCATGTTGCTCAAGGTTCCAGCTGTAGTCTCCAATGGTAGTACTTAGTGTTTCCATGATATTCAGCCATATAAATGTAATATTCTTTATTTAACCCTTTATTACTTAGAGATAGTTAGATACATATTATTTATATTTAGATATTGCTATTTCTGGTGAAAAATAAATTTTTGTTAAAGACAGAAATTCCAGCCTACTGCTGAAAACAGCTGATTCAAATTCTCCTTTCAGAACAAAATTGTGATTTTTGTGTTTGGGATTTCTCTAATGGTATCAGCAGATTTTGTCCAGGTTGAAATAGAATATTTAAGCATTTCATCTTCCACATCTTAGTGATCCCCATTCTTTTTTTACTCTCATAATGTTTTCTTGTATTTAGGTAGGGTTTTTTTTCCATTTACAAAAGCATTTGAAATGATAAGGAATTATAAAAGAATATTGATTCACATAAAAATGTTTATGGCATGCTATTATTAAAATGTTATAGAACAGTATGTACTATATGATACTAATTTTGTTTTTAAAGTATATATGTTGTGTATGCATATGTTCAAAGATTAGAAGAATATATGCCGAAATCCTAACAGTGGTTACTTCTTAGTGGTAGGGTTCTTCTGGGAGCATTCTGTTTTCTGGATTCTCTACAGTGAACATATTCCCAGAAGGAAAATATTTTTTAAAACATAGCTAAGTGCCATATTTTTGCAGAGCCATCAAGAATTCTATAGTTTAGTTAAAGACATTCTAGACATTCATTTAGAAAGATTTGAAAATAAATGACTATATGCAATTCAGTATAAAAGTGTATATGTAACTAAAAGGAAATATCATTGAGTAGTAGCATTAGAATAGTGTTAATGAAGAAAGTGGTGGTTTTGAGCTGAATCTTAAAAGGAAATGTACAGTTTTTTATTGGAGAAGACAGTGAGTTTATACCCTCAAAGGACAGCATCCCAAAGACATGTGTCTGGGAATGAGAGAGTAAAGAATGTGGAGAATAGTAAAGAGACTAAACTTAATCAGTATGTGATTGTTCTTTTAAAACAGAAAGTCTCTGTTTCATGTTAATGATCAGATATTTAAAAAAGAAAAGAGAAATCCTGAAGTTTGGGGAACTAAAGCATTTGTGTTTTTTAAAGAATTTCACTGTTTTAGTACCAGTTGCTCTCTACTTGAACATTATTTTTCATGGTTACAAATTATATAGTCAATGTTTATATAATTGTTTCAGTGTTAATTTTACTGAAACACTGTATTAGTTGAAAAATTTCTTTTCAGAAACTGCATAGTAAAACTTATGGTTAGTCAGTAGATATTTTAATGCCATGATACTAAATGTTAGCTCAAATAATCAGTGTTTAAATACAACTTTCTTATGTCATAGGGCTTTTGCCAAGATGGCTTCAGCTCCTACCAGCTATGGCAACACTACCACTAAACCAATGGGGTAAGTATTTTTAATAATTCTGATTGAATAAGTCTAGTACTCCAGACCATAATTGGACTTTTGTGCCTTAAAAACACAGTGTGACACTTTGGATACAGAAAGTTTTCATTGTGATACAGAAGAAATGTCAGCATGCCTTTAGCTTCCATACGTAGTTTAAATTCTGTATTTTACCTGGTATGGCTTTGTATGCTTCCTTGTTCTTAAAACATTATGTTTGGGCTTCCCTGGTGGCGCAGTGGTTGAGAGTCTGCCTGCCGATGCAGGGGACATTGGTTCATGCCCCGGTCCGGGAAGGTCCCACATGCCGCGGAGCGGCTAGGCCCGTGAGCCATGGCCGCTGAGCCTGCGTGTCCGGAGCCTGTGCTCCGCAACGGGAGAGGCCACAACAGTGAGAGGCCCACGTACCGAAAAAAAAAAAAAAAAAATTATGTTTTTCATTTTCAGAAGATACATGAAGTTTAAAAACTGTTTTTATATCAATGTTGATAATATAGACTTGAAGCTAGACACTCAAGACCTAGCTTCAAGATGGAACCAGGCATACTGCTAAATGATAGAGAGGAAATCCTCAGGGCTGGGTATGACTTCTGACTTCAGAAAATCCTGTACAGTATGTGTGGTTTTCAGAGGAGCTGAACAAAGTGATTCTAACTGCTCTTTTCCATACCATACTAGCTTCAAATTCTTAGCTTATTTTTTGGAGCTTAGAACAAAAGCATGAAACTGGAGGAAAACCGGTTTACCTACCCCGAGCTGCCAGTTTTAATGAAACAGTTTCCAAAAAGTAAAAGTACTTGGCCTAAGGCAGGGCCTTGTAAGCGCTTGGCAAAATGAATCCATTTGGCCTCACCTTCAGACAGTGCTGTGCAGGTGAGCCCACTAACTCCCTGAGAGTTACCTGGTACCTGGGAATTGCCTCAGAACTGTCCACTCCAACAGAGATTACTTTCTTTTGTTTTTGTTAAAGAAATGATTTCCATCCTGTCCATCTCTTCATTTCAGAGGGGAGTAGGACAAGATAGGAAAAATGAAAATATATTTGGAAAATTACTCTCATGCATTTAATGAAACAGACTTTCCAGTTCTTTGTCTTAAGATTTGTCTTAAGATTCTTGCTGAATCTTAAAAGCCTATTAGATTTCTTATGGATTTTGTAGTTGAGGATTTTAATAAAATGTGTTATAAGAAAACCTTGGATGATTTGAAGGCTTTCCCTAGCCTTCTTTTTTTTTAATTAATTTTTATTGGAATATAGTGCTTTACAATGTGTTAGTTTCTGCTGTGTAGCAAAGTGAATCAACTATACATATATCCTCTCTTTTTTGGATCTCCTTCCAATTTAGATCACCACAGAGCATTGAGTAGAGTTCCCTGTGCTAAACAGTAGGTTCTCTTTAGTTATCTCCCTAGCCTTCTAATATCAAAATGCAAGATTACCATTCTGTCCCACAAAGCATCCTTTGATTCCATGTGAGAGACTTTTTGAACCACAAATATAAAACCAATATGGCAAGTCATTTGTGTTATTTTTGTTGTTAAAAACTCAGACACTAAACAGTCTTCTGAGTTGAGGTAGAATTCATCAAGTATGTTGTGCTTCACATTTTTATATGATAGGTTTTGTGTATGAGGGGAGAAAGTATACAATTGCAGGATTAGGTCTAGCAGCTATGATATAGAGAACACAGTAACTTTTGACCTATTCGTAATACTTATAGACATATATGTTTTGAATATGTCAGTGTGTTTTGAACTCCTAAAGTGAGTCATCTGAATTACTATCTTTTTTTAATTGAAGTATCGTTGATTTACAATGCTGTGTTAATTTTTTCTGTACAGCAAAGTGATTCAGTTATACATACATACACATTTTTTAATATTCTAGATTACTGTCTTTAATTTATTGTTTTAACATTAAGACAATCAGGAAAGCAAGGAATTCTCTTCAGTTAATAATTTGCTTAAATACTATAGCTAAGGCTTAGCAATTAAAATGTTTATATTGAGGGCAGCTCTCAATTTTTATATTTTATTAATATCGACTAGTCAGAAAGTTTTATTACTATTTTATTGTTAAATAAAATTGTGGCAGTGATGTCCATGGAAGCAGAAATTCTCAGGTCACTTCTGTTCAGGTCACTTCTGTTTAGAAAAAACAAAGGTGGTAGGCACAGAGAGCATCAGCATATATTGTGTAATCAGACAAGTATTTTGTCTGTAACTGGAGAGATAATTTGTACTTAGTGCAGTCCTCTTCTTTTGCACCTAGTCTCTTATCACGAGTCATGAATACAGGATCACAATTTGTGATGGAAGGAGTGAAGAACCTGGTATTGAAACAGCAAGTAAGTACAATTGTTAGAAAACACACTGGTAACTTTTGAATATAAATGTTGGCAGGTTGATTGCTCAGAAAGAGCAGCTTCTACATATATTCAAGTACAAATATTAGGAATAAAATAAAATCAAGGGGTCCTTTACTGGTATATTTAAGGATGTGAGGGTGTTTTACAGGTATAGTTCACAACTCTGTAATTTTATGCTTTTTTTTTTTTTAATTTGCTAATTGGACTTTACTGACATTTTGATTTCCTTTAACTATTATCAGGTCTGTGAAAGTATATTAATTGAAAATAAATGAACTTAACCTTAGAATAATGAACTGTTACAAAAATGCATATCATTTAAGTTTTAACATATATTAGAGAATATTAATAAACTAATAGCCTTAATAGTTTAAAAGCCTGTGTAAATTAAAATAAAAATATTTTAAGTAGAATATATGTTTTGAAATAATGTAACTATAGCTTGATTTCATACTTCATTTTGGAATAACAGTCTTAGTTTTAAACATAAGACTTTTTTTAATGACTTTTGTATTTTTGTTGTTTTCCTGTTATTCTTATATATCGATATTTCTGCTTCAGAGTCATCATTAATTGATTTGGTTTCAAACTGGACTTGTTTTTAACTTTTTGTTATGGAAATTTTCAAATACACGTTAGTATGTCAAATACTCCTGAGCCCTTCACCAAGCTTCAATACTTAACATCGTGCCATTCTTGTTTCATCTTCCCCACTTATATTTTTTTATTTGATTTATTTTTAACTGGGATATTTTAAGGCAAATCTGAGATATAATATTTCACAGATAAATACTACAGTTTGTAGTGAGAAGGATTTTAAAGGCCAAATTAAGAAAAGAAACAGAGTTAATTATCTGTTATTCAGATCTGAATATTAAGTGTTTACTTACTTGTTTTCAGAATAAACTAGATCTTTTGTTTCTCTGAACTTCTTCCACACTTTTTATCTTTCTTATGATGTTTACCTGTGGTATTTTGTATTAACATTATTTATATTTTACTTCTTTTTTTTCCAGTTTTATTGAGATACAATTGATATATATTGTTTTACTTATTGATGGCAAAGAATTTTTTCCCCCATCTTTGAATTTTCCATAGCAGTTTGCAGAAAGTAGGTATTCAATTTTTGTTTGAATAAGTGAATAAGATTTTATTGTAAAAAAACATGTAGTGTTAATAAAGAACAGTGAAAAATCCTAATTTGCTGTCTTTAACTAAAAGGCTGATTACTTCCTAACTTTCCTTCAGAGAGATTCCAGATTGCTTTACTTCCTAAGTACTTGGGAAGACTTTTTAGCTTCATTATCACTCTTAGGAATTATTTTCAGTCCTTCCCATTCTGTCTCTCTTCTGGTAAGAGGCTACTACTAAATACTTAATCCTCTTTTTTACTGGTTCACAGTACTTCCCTGAGTCAGTTTATCTTTACTCTCTTAGACTACTGAAGGTGAAGAGACATAAAAATAGGAGGTTGGGCACATTAGTGACCAACATACTGTACTTACAGTTTAACCTAGCATCTGTTAAAGAAAAAATTACTCATGACACTCATTAAAGTACAGTAAGGCAGACTTTATTGAAGGGGACCATTGAGAAAGATGTTGGGACCATCACAATGGAGTTTTGAAGTCTGGGAGAGAGATTGGGCTTAAGTACAAATACAAAAGTGGGAATTTATAGCCAAGGAGCAGGGTGTAGGGAATCAGTGGTTGGAAAATTACCAAGAGGAAATATCAGGGATAAAGGGGGATCCTGGCTAAACCAACCTAACAGGATTCTTGCTGAAGGCAGGCTAGTGTGATTAGACATCACCTGGGAGGTGGTAGAAGATGAGGAACCCGATGAGATACCGAGGGTGGTTAGATACCGAGGATGGAGGTGCTGGCTATAAACTGACTTTAGCAGGATTCTTTCTAAAATTGGACAATGCAGAGATGGACACAGAAGTCCACAGGTCGAGGCCCAGTTGAAAAAGTTCAAAGAGCCTGAGTAGAATCTCGTCTAGTAGAGAATCTTTGTCATAGCACTCTATTGATTATCAACTATGGACAAGATGATTTCATATGTGAGACAAAGGGGGAACCATCAGTTTCTAAGACTACGTCTGCCTTTTGCTAGATAGACTGGCTATTGTATAACTACGTATAGTTAAATTTAGTTTTAAGGAAAAGTACATATTTTACTTAACATGTCACTGTTAGAAGGAAATCCCAGTAGTAAGATTCCCTAAACAAAGGAATCCTTGTCACAAATAACTGATAGCATTGAGCAATTACAGGCTTTAATCTTTATTTATTTATGACTGCGTTGGGTCTCCGTTGCTGCATGCAGGCTTTCTCTAGTTGTGGCGAGCGGGGGCTACTCTTCGTTGTGGTGCGCGGGCTCCTCATTGCGGTGACTTCTCTTTGTTGCAGAGCACAGGCTCTAGGCACACGGGCTTCAGTAGTCGTGGCACGTGGGCTCAGTAGTTGTGGCACACAGGCCCTAGAGCACAGGCCCAGTAGTTGTGGCGCATGGACTTAGTTGCTCCACGGCATGTGGGATCTTCCCGGACCAGAGCTCGAACCCATGTCCCCTGCATTAGCAGGCGGATTCTTAACCACTGTGCCACCAGGGAAGTCCTTGTAATCTTTTAAATGATCAAATTTACTTTTTGAACTTATTACCTTAGCGTCACATGATATACATCCCCAAATGATGCCTGTAAGAAGGGTCTAAAGTGATCGACTTAAATATTTTACTGTGCTAACACAACAGTATGTTTTATTTAAAGTTAAGTTTATAAAATATAAAAACAGATTATCCTCTGTGACCTCAAATCCTTTTGCTTTTCTTAACATTGCAAATAACATACTGCTTTGATATAGGCAGTTTCTCACTTACAGAAGTAAAATTTGAAATGACTGGTGGTTACCTCTTTCTATATCACATTTCTATCACCACTGCTAAGAGAGCCAGGCCAGTTTTTTAAATAGATGTTAATAAGACTTTTTAGGAAATATTTATTGATTTGGGGGACACTGGTTATTGATTGGGGGATAGTGGTTCATTATATATTGTGAAGTAAAAATAAAAGTCATTATAAAACAGTAAATTCAATATGGTCTTTTTGTTTTTGTTTAAAAAAAGAAAAAAATAGAAGATACTCAAGGATATATAACTAGGTTTTAAATGTTAGTTTTTCTAGGTGGGAGTGTTCACCTCTGATTAATTCCATATGATAAATTATTAGACTTCAATTATGGAATCAAAAGAATGAACATTTCTAATTGTTCTTAGTAAATGTTACCAAATTGCTGTCCAGAAAAGTTGTACCAATTTGCAGTGATTTACAGCACCTGTTTCTCTATATCCCGCCCAGACTTGGACCTGTGTGCATGTGTATGTGTGTAATCTTTGTAAATTTAATACTTTTAAAAAGTCTCTTGTTCTAGAAATATTTAAACTCATAGAAAGCCATTTTTAAAGTTACACAGTCCTAACGTTCTAAAATTTAGAGGAACTGCTACAGGTAGATATAGGGCAGGTTGGGAACTGAAAAAAATGTCAGAGAAGAGACTGGAAAAGATGAATTCTTTGTTTCACACTTGTAAAATTCTGTTTAATTCATGCCTCTTAAGTCTCTAAGTATTTGTTTCGATTTTTTATCTGAATAAACATTTTAAGCTATAAAAACATTAGATAGAATAAGATGTCTTGTCATGTCCAGTTTTCTAGGTCACTTATAAGAGCCTTTTATACTTTTTTGTTTCTTGGGCAGCATAAGTTTTATGTATCACAAGTATTAGCTATCACATAAAACCGTTTGAATGATATTCGCAGATTTGAAATATACTTATGTGAGGATAATTGTACAAGAACGTGATGATGAATAATGTAGTACTGTGTTGCATATTTCACTTTCTTTGGCTTGTTTGCTTAAATAATCACTCTTTTAAAAATGAATTAACAACAAATAAATTGCAAGCAGTGGAATTCAGTAGATTAAAAAAGACTTAAAAGATATATCACCTAATTGCAATGTATAGCCCTTATTAACATTATAATTTGAACAGTGAAACTGTAAGAAATAAATTTATGGAGCAGGAAAATTTTGATACTGACTAGATATTGAGCTGTATTAAAAATATTTGCTGATTATTTTAGGTGCAATAGTAGTGTTATAGGGGTTTTTTTTTCTTTTAGGAGTTCTTATATTGTGGAGATATATATACTGAAATATTTATTGCTAAAATGATTTGATACTGGGAACTTGTTTTAAAACAGCCTAGGGAGTGGGGAGTGAGAGTATAGATAAAATAAGAATTTGCCATGAGTTGATAATTGTTGAAACTGAATGATGGAAATTGATGTGTTTTATTGGGTCCAGGTAATCCTGTTTCTTGATTTTATTGCCATTAATATGCTATGGTTTGGGGAAAAAATACCACTTTATATATTTTATTCTTTCCTCATCTGTAAGATGTGGATGTTGGATTCACTCTGTAGATCCCTTCTGATTTATAATTTTTAAATTTTGGAAATAGATGATCCATCCTATTCCCCTTCCTCCTATCTACTTCACTGACAACTTTCCAATATCCGCATACTCCATCTTATTCTTTACTTGGCTAATACAGTCTTCCAGATAAGTGTTCTCTTCAAGAAGGTACACATACTGCTTTTCATTCTTCAGGACTTTGATAATCAAGACAGCAGCGACTCTTGTCCCAACTTCACTGCCTAGTTCATCGTCAGAGTATCATCCCAAATCCAAGGCTACCCGGGGTGGGGCAGGGGCGGCAGGGGGCGGGGGGGAGTTGGAAATAGTCACCATAGACCAGATGGCAATATAGGGCAACAAGTGGCTAATCCTAGGAGAATTAGAGGGGAAAAATGTTTTTAACTGTTTTGGATATAGGGCTGTATTATGTTTTTTAGATTGTCTGTTTTTTAATTTCTTTGCATATTTTATTTTAATTTTGTTTTTAAGCAATTATGCCATCAGAGACAAAAATTAACATTGTTTTTATTTAAACTTTTCCAGTGACTAAAATCATAAAACGTGACTATGGTCATAAAACTATTAAGGATTTTTAGAAATTAATTTCTCACTGTATTTTTTTTCTCCCAGTAATATTTCTAGTTCATATATTTGAAATTTGAACATCTTGGAAATAGTGATCCTTAATTTAGGATATTCACATGTATGGGATTCTGTCTCTCAAATCTAAATAGATATAGAGGCTTTCTACTAATAAAAATTTAGTTAGTAACCTAGACAATAATATTTTTCATTTTATTTCTGAAACAGTTTCTAAAAACAATGAAATATATGCTTGGGAATTTTTAAAATAATGGGCTTTCATTTGATTAAATTTCATTTATACCTCTGTTATTGAGGTACACAATTTTTTTGTGTCTTTAAAGATGAGTGAACAGACCGTTTGTTGAGCGAAGAAAATTGTATGGTTTTGTTCTGCTGTTTTCTCTCTGTTAGCTGCCACAGTTCAGTTTTTTCAATTAGTAGAACTTAGTTATCTTAGATATTATCAATATAAAATTCATTTTAAAATGATTAACTTAAGTCTTCATATAGGCCAGATAGAGCATTAGTTGATGACAGAGCTCTCAGAAGTTGTTTCCTGAAGTACTCTTTCTTAGGCCTTTAAAGACATTATGTATTTCCTTTATCATTCTCTACACTGCAAGTTTTCCTTAATGTGTGACAGTGTGTGAATTATTGTGTGGTGTGGCAGTGGTAGATGACTCTTTTGGTGTTATCTGTTTGTAAAGACCAAACAAAAACATAAAGAATCGTCTCTGGGCTCTTAAACTTCTGAACTGTACTGCTAGAAAGAAATTTTTCTTGTGTTATTTAATGACCTATTCACTAGCAGGCTTATCTTCAGATACAGCAGAGATATGAAATGCCAAGTAAAATTTAACTGTACCTTTTAGAAAAATCTTACTTTTATACTAAATGAAATATTCAAATTTCCAGTTATTTTCACAAATACAATAAAAGTAATATGACTCATATGGCTTTATCAATTATATAAAATCTTTTCTGAACTTTTCTCCATTGCACATATCTAATACCATAGTACAATTCAGAGAGCTAAACGGAGAATTCAAAGTAAATAGAGGGGCTTCCCTGGTGGCGCAGTGGTTTAGAGTCCGCCTGCTGATGCAGGGGATACGGGTTCGTGCCCCGGTCCGGAAAGATCCCACATGCCGCGGAGCGGCTAGGCCCGTGAGCCATGGCCGCTGAGCCTGCGCGTCCGGAGCCTGTGCTCCGCAACGGGAGAGGCCACAACAGTGAGAGGGCCGCGTACCGCAAAAAAAAAAAAAACGTAAATAGAGAAATGGATATAAAATTAATTTTAGTAAAATGTTATAATTTATAATGTAGCCTTGCTCCAGAATTCTTTTTATTGTTCCTGTTATGTTGCAAAGTACTTCATCTTTTGTTGGTGTTACTTAGAACAAATTTGTAACTGTAGTATTTTCTTTTGAAAGCATTTTTATAGATTTAAATCTGTACCCAGTTATTCTTTAGAGAAAGTTATGGTTTAGACTTACATTCTTAAGTGAACAAACTCAAGTTTATTTGAAACAAAACTTAAAAGGTAAAATTTTGAGCTCTCTTTTTCAAATTCTAAATAGAATTCAGGAAGTACATTCAGTCAGCTTGAACATTTGGTGCTTGTGTTTATATTAAGAAGTTCCTGGCCAACAAAAATATCAGAGAATAATGAAATAGCTTTAATTTTACTTGCCTAAGATTATCTTGAAAGATTTTTACTTGCCAATCTAAAGAAAGGAAAAGGAAAAAGAAATGCGTATTTTCTGCCTGGGCAAAGCAGCATTTTCCTTAGTGATGGTCCATTTTAGTAACAATAAAATGTTTTATGACCTACAGAAAGTAAAACTTGTAAAATAGTAATGTGTTATCTACAGTTATTTAAATAATGAGATTTAATGTTGCCTCTGTTGTATGAAATCTCTAAGATACAAAACTATTCTTTCCAGAATATTCTGTACAGTTCACAAAGGAAATATCAGTTCAAAGTGGGCAGAATACCATCCCAGTAGGAAGGTACTTTGAATAGGCATAATAATCACTTAGTAAATTTTCTGTACCCAGTGTGTTGTTATGTTCAAAATAATGGTTAAAATGGTCAGATTGAAACATAGCAATAGTATTTCATATCCCCATGCATGTAAGCATGTCAAGGGGCAATCTTCTGTCAACACCAGTGTTATACATTTTATGTTCAAAGTGGAATGTGTTTTGTAAGAAGATAATATAGTATGTCATTGAAAATTTGGAATTTATCCCAGGCAAAATTAAAGCGGTCAATAAAGTTGTGTGTGCATCCATTTCCCCATTTTTTCAAAGAACACAAGTATCTTATTGGCTAGAAGAATATACATTAAAAATGAAAAAACTCTGTTAGGTCATTTAATCTCATATATTTCTGCAAACTTAAAGTACTATTTTTTAAATAAACAAATCTGCAGAAAGGAAATGAAAAAAAGGGGGTGGGGATTCTTACTCAATTAAAAGCTTACAATTACGGGTGTTAAAAAGCAGACATCCAACAAAGTAAAAAGCCCAAATATGTATTTGTACTAAAACCTGGATACACCTACACATTTTTAAAAATTACGTTTTTTCTATGGAACCTTGAATAATGCCAAGGGTATTTACAACTATGACACCATTCACAGAATACTTAATCTTAGAATGTGTTTAATTGAAAGGTAAGCATACTGAACTATAGAATGATTAGGTTGTTTTGCTACTAGAGAAGAATTTTGGTTTGTTATTTCTTCTGATATTTAACAAAATACTCACTGATCTCTTCCACAGAATCTACCTGTTACTCGTATTTTAGACAATCTCATGGAGATGAAGTCAAACCCTGTGAGTAACATATAACACTGTACTTGTAAGTTCTTGAACATACCAGACTATATACAAAAAGTGATAAACTCAGAGTTTGTTGTGGGCTTAATCACAGCAGACTACATGCTGGAAAGGAAAGAGTCCATGTTCTCAAACAGCCTTTTTTAACCATTATCACAGATAAATGGGAATTGGTTTCTCAGCTGCTACATCACTCTGGCCAGCTTTCATCCAAAGTAAATGTAGATTATATCCTATATATGTCCTAAGGAGCAAGTTTCTATAAATAAAAAAGAACTAGTGAGCATCAGTTGGTGTACTATAAAGAGTACCAGGTCAGTTTAATTTTATGAAATTAAATTAGGAGAGGAGTGCATAGTAAAAATTTTAAGCGCATGTATTCAGATGGCACCAAGTTCTTTGGGGCTGAAAGGTAAATTGAGAGAGAAATTGATGAAGAGATAAATGGGTAAATAAATATGAGCATTTACTTAAAGAATGGGTTTTCAAGCTATCTGTTTATAATTCAAGAAAGGAATGTAAAAATCATCACAATCTGTTTCATAAAAGAGCCCATCCTGTTACTGTGGCAACTAGAAATAGAGTGGTTATCTGGAATAGAGAAAAGCCGCATGATCAAAACCCTCATTTGGGCTGATCTGGATCACTATAGACTTGGCATCAAGACTTAGGATACCAGGCTGAGAGAGAGAGTGAGAACAGAATCTTCAGTTAAATATGTCATTATTTTGTAATTGTTAAAACATTATTATAACATTAAAGGAAATTAACAAAAACAAATTTAAAAATCTGTCCATGTGAAAACAAAGATATAGTGTTATAAAAAAGCCCAAAAAGGGGCAATTACAGTTATGAAAGGAATGAGAGAATTGTCTATAATGATAAGCTAAAAAGGATTGGATTCTTCTATCTGGGAATCAATATAGAGAAAGTGGTATACAATGTAGTAAAAATAGATTTATTACTACATCCTAGAATATATGAAGAAGGAATGCTTCTTGAAAAGCCTGAGAGAAGTATGATTTATGATTAATTGTCTTATAGACTACTACTTCATAATAGGCAGTAAATTTCTGGAAGATATTATCCCAAACAATAGTAAAGATTAAAAATATAAACAAATGCAAAACTTTAGACACCATATCCACAAGGGGTTAGGCAAGTTCAGGATATTTTGTTGCTGTCCCTAATCTCGAAGTCGAGATGATGGATAAGGACAATAATAATGATAATAGCTAACATTTATTGTGCATTTCTTTAGCCAGGAACCAGTCAAAACATTTTTCATATAGCTCATTTAATCCTCATTCGAACCTTCTAAGAAAAATACTATTTTTTTAAATTATTCTCATTTTATAGACGAAGAAACTGTGGCACAATTAACTTGCCCAAGGACACACAGCTAATAAATGGCAGAGCTGAACAGGCCACATTTTTCACCACTGTGCTATATTGATTAGGGCAAGAGCCATGCCCTTCGTAGAATCATAGAACTTTAGAGTTTAATGAAACTGTAGAATCTTAACTGTGAAGGAGAGGAAACCAAGAGATATTGTGACGTTTCCCAAGGCACACTATTTTTAATAACAGAATTGGAACCAAAAACCCACTACTTCTGAATTCCTGCCTACTACTCATTCCAACATATACACACCTTCCACATATCTGTCATAGACATACAGATGGCTAAATTATGGGTCTTATTCAGATGTTTCTCCAAGTTCTGTAAGTTCATTTATCAGTTCTATTGACTTTGACTTTATAACTGAAGGCACATTACTACAGATATTTTTTAATTAATTAGAAAAAGTAAAATTTTTCAGCTTTGAAAGCATTTTTTCATCCATCTGCTGGATGAGACAGATGCCTGCTCCCTCTCTTATCCCTGTCTTTTTCCCATATTGACAAATTGATTTGGAGGCTTTGAAGAGATTAACAAAGTGTACTAAGTTAGACCTGACTAGTCATCTTGAATATATCGTATCTCAAAGGCTTTAAAATGCTATAAACTAATTCTAGATGAATTCTTATCACTAACGTTTATTAAGTGTTCTTTGATTTGTCTTGATTGGATATAATGAAAGAAAGGGATTAGGCAAGATATCAGGTAAATTTCATCTTCCCTTGTACATCTGGCTAGTAGTAGTTTCCTAGAGCAAAGTGTTGAAGGATTATGGCACTGCCTTTGGGTTCAGGGAGAGTTCTGTGATTGATTAGCATCGTCCACCATTGAATGCAGGACTAGGTAGTGGCAACAATGCATGGTTTGTCATTGATCACGTTTGGGTAGGTTCATCCAGAAAAGAACCAGATAACATTTCAGAAAAGAATGAGTTCCTTTGGCTGATTGTACCATGGAGGGCAAAGTAGGCAGAGATTAGGAAGTGACTACATTATAAACAGTAAAGCAGTACTTTCCAGCTCCTTTAATATCAAGAAGCTAGTTTCCAATATAGTATGGAGGTCAGCAACCCCTTATCCACAACTTCTGAACTCCAAAGAGTTCTGAAAACTAAGAGATTTTATATAACTCATTTGGTGACAAAACCTAACCTTAACTCAAGTTGAGGTTCTTCGTACTTTTGATTTATCCTACTTTATGTTAATATTCATCTATTTAGCTCCAGAAATATTAACGTGTTAGATGATGGGGTGCTGCCCTCTAGGAATATTATATTATATATAGTTTATGCATGATATTATCTATATGCAATTTTTTAAATTCAAAATTCCAAAATACATCTAACTGCAGAGGTTTCAATTATGAGAGATTGTGAACCTGTTTTAGGTATTCTGGACATTCAGTAAAATCATAGACATATAATAATAATATAATAAATTCTAAAAGCAAGAATAAGTACATTAGGTTATAAAACAGGTATATTATTTTTCTTACTTTTTTTTGAAGTATAGTTGATTTTACAGTGTTGTGTTAGTTTCAGGTATACAGCAAAGTGATTCAGTTATATATATATATTCTTTTTCAGATTCTTTTCCCTTATAGATTATTGCAGAATATTGAATATAGTTCCCTGTGCTATACAGTAGGTCCTTGTTAGTTATCTATTTTATATATAGTAGTATTCTTTTGTTAATCCTAAACTCCTAATTTATCCCTCTGCCCCTTCCCCCCCTTGGTAACCATAAATTTGTTTTCTATGTCAAAACAGGTGTATTTTTGAGAAGCAATACGCATAGTGGTTAAGAACTGGGGCATTGAAACTAGACTACCTGGGTTCAAATCCTAGAGTTCCCACACTTACTTGTCATGTGACTTTAGGAAAGTTAAAATAACTTCTCTATACCCCAACTTGCCCATCTGAAAAATAGGGATAATAATAACTACCTCATAGGTGATAGGGGATTATGTAATTTTACTTAGAACAACGTTTAACACATAGTAATTGCTCGGTAAATGTTGATGGTGGTTACCCACTCTACCAAATTAATAGATTCATTAGTAGATTCATCAGGTATTCTTAAAATAAGCCAAACTTGAACTTTCTAAAGAAAAATTCCATAGTCATGGTAAAGTTCTCTTTTTTTTTTTAATAGGAAACTGATGACTATAGATATTTTGATCCCAAAATGCTGCGGGGCAATGACAGGTAAGCAGCTCTTGTCTTGTATAATTTGTTGTAGGTTTCCCCACCCCCACCAAGAACGGAAATAACTTTACTGATTTTTTGTTATAAATCAGTAACTGCTTATTATTAAAAATTCAAACTATATAGAAAACTGGTAAGTAAACAGTATGTATAATCTCTTTACCCAGAAGTAATCACTGGTAATTACACCTGACACTTTGATGCTTTTCCTTCCAAGTGTAACATGCAAAAAAATACATTTAGATGTTTGTTGTTTTTAATGAAATGATGAGGGTATTACATACTGTGTGTGGGTGAAGAGAATTTGGATAATCTGTGTGTTTTTAAATGAATATTCTTATTGACCAAATGAAAAGATGGGAGCTTTATGTTGGATACCAGTTGTTGGCTTTTTATTTAACTGGTCCATAAAATCTAAGCCCCTGGGAATCATTGCTGTGAATACTTCCTTATAGCAATGAAACATTCTGCAAATAATTTATATACTTTATGACAAACATGGTATGGTAAGGTATTTGTTAACTTTATTTTGGATATTATTTTTTAAGATTTAATCCATGGTGGTATGAAGAATAGCCTACAAGATACAGAAAAAGAATAGGCAGAATTAGGAGGGAAAAACCTTCCTGGAGGGATGGTCTTTAGCACCAAAACTTGGGTGAAGCTTCTTTATTGCCTATACCCTATGTTTGGGATCTTTAGAACTTTGTCTTTGCTCTATCCCAAGTTTTCACATCTTTGTAGGTAGTCAGAACAGATAATCTAGTCACTAGAAAGTTGATTATTAGATTGTTTTGGTAACCTAAAAGATTCTTTTTTGTGAACTTATCAGAAGCACTACCAAAGTTACAAAAGAAGCTGCTGGTAGCAACTGCAGCTGGCAAGAAAGAATTTGACAAAGAATAAATTATAGAAGGGAGAGAATGAGGAGTGACAACTAATGGGTATGGGGCTTCTTTGGCGGGTGATTAAAATGTTCTGAAATTAGACAGTGGTGATGGTTGTACAACTCTGCAAATATTCTAAAAACCAGATTGTACACTTTAAAATGGTGGATTTGCAACTCTTGATGTTCTCGAGCTTACAATTTTTCCTTCCTTGTATTTGCATCAGTAGATATATTTTGCATTTTAGAAACTTCTGAGAAATTCTTTTAATCTTCCCTATAGTTTATGCATGATAATGAGGAGGAATATTAGCATTGATAAGACAGTGAAACACAGTTTCATTTTTTAATAGACTCAGCCTTCTCTTGAGCTGTCTCATCACAATTAGATCTTGGTTTTTAATAACTAGTAATGCTGTGCTATTTAAGTCTTACTTCTCCTCATCTCATGTCTACTCTTAGAGGAACTTAAAGCACTCTAGAAGGAAGTTTGTGAGGCATTTCTGTCAGGGCAGCTACTGGCTCCTTCTATGGAATATTGACACAGGCCACAGAAATGAGGAAAAGATGGAACTGTGGAATCAGCCTGTGAATAATTGAGAGGTTATAATAGCTCTCTCCCCTTGGTTGAGATTTTCAAAAATGGCTTGTGAGGAAAACCTAAGTTATCTTTGTAAAGCCTATTTTAGCACTCAAAACAAATATATATTTGACTCACAAAAGCTTTGAAAATTGTGTTTATTAAAAGATCTCTTTGACACCAAGAAAGTATTTTTGAAATATGTTACAAATATATAAATATGTAATTAATATATAAGTATTAAAAAGCTATAGCAAAATACACATCCCTTCTTCCATCCCCTCTTTGCTTCCTAAATTGTTATCCTTCCCATACATGTGTTTGCATAGTTTTTTCACAAATGTAGATACCCACAAACTGTAATCTGTTGAGTATGGTAAAAATTTTACATAATTTACCGCTAAAGTATATATTTTATTAATTCACCTTATACCCAGATTTCCACTCCTCGTGGGAACTGTTGCTCAGTCTTTCCTTTTCCCTCTCAGTCTTCTCCTAGAATTTTATTTTGAAGTCAACAAGTTGTCCCATTCCCTTTTAGACACTGAGATATGTACTTCATCTAGCTGTTCCTCTGAATCCCACTTCACTGCCTGGCTCAAAGAAGGTGAAGGAAGAAGAATTGTAAATACATAGCTAATAGTGCGTGCGTGTGTCTGTGTGTTTCCCATGCCTATTTTATCCTTAAGTGAAGCTTTGGGTGAAATTTTCGTGTGTGTTTTTTGTTGTTCTTACAGCTCAGTTCCAAGGAACAAAAATCCATTTCAAGAGGTAAGTTCATATAAAAATCCTCTGTCCCTGAAATGGAAGGATGAAAGGTAACCAAGCAGTCTTGAAGAATATCTTTGTCCTAAACATAGCTTTATGATGGTTACTGTATGGCAGTCTTGATAAATCCAATTCCATGTACTTAAGATTCTTTATAAATGACAAATTCAAAAATAACTTTTGGAAAAAGCCCTTTGGATTTATTTGGTATTGTTTAATTGAAGGATGAAGTTTATTTTCTTCAGAATTGTTTCTGAAAAATCTCCACTTCATTTTACTACTCAATAGAAATTAGAAATTTATAAATTTATAGACTTTTCTAAGAAATAAATTTCTTTATAATTGAAGTAGCATCAGGCACTTAGGTAAAAAAAATACTAGCTAGCAAGGGATCACATCCTAAGTTGTGGAATGGGCTCCAGACTAAACCTCATGTTTGAGAGTTAAAATACTGTTTTAACTATTTCTTTTAACTTACCTATTTTTTTTCTGTTTGCATTTTTAGGCAATTGTTTTTGTGGTGGGAGGAGGCAACTACATTGAATATCAAAATCTTATTGACTACATAAAGGTACATTTGACCTTTATATTCTTTTATCATTTGAGGTTTCACAGTTGTTCCATGTCTTTAACATACTAACATTCTCTGGTGGCTCCCCTGATTCTTACATAACCCCTTTTCTAGAGGTAGTTTAAAAATCCAGCAGATAGGGAAAAATGCCCATATGTTCATTGTTTTCCTGTCACATTTCTGGCCTAAAATTTTACTTGATTTGGAAAATAATGTACCTTATTGATGTAATGTACTTTGCAGCTATCTTATTTTGACTTTAAATGTTTAGATACCTCAAATAAGCCCCTGTTCTAAAAATGTCTCCCTTGGTGAGATGATTTACTGAACCCCATTTACCTGAATAATAAGCACTTTTCTCTCATCTTATTGACCTAAGTCAGCAACATACTTCAAACAAACCTGGAATGTCTGCTTTTTCAGCAAACAGGTTCTTTAGAGGTAGGACGTTAGAAGTGGTGTGCTCTTCAAAACTGACAGCAGCAGGGAGTGACAGACAACTAAGCAAAAGAATATGAAGGGAAGGGTATAACTTGAAGAGCAAAAACACCATTTAAAAGGTAGAGGCAACAGAACTAGTGATTGTTGCAATGACATTTTGTAATCTTCATTTAATTCACTTAATATTGAATAATGATTATTCCTTATGTCCTGTATTACATAAGACTTCAATAAAGGTAGAGGTTTTGGTACAGCAGGAGAAAAAAATACATAGGCAGATGTCACAGAGCTTCAAAACCACCAGGTACCTCCAAGGATCCTAGCTCAGTTGCACATAACATGCTTCAGAATGTGAACCACCACTAAGATCTATACCTTGGTCTCAGGGGAGCATCCATCTTATACTAGGAGAGGTCTTTTATACCCCTCTCTGTTCATATAGCCAGAATCAGGCTGCATGACTAGGCTCAAAGGCAAAAACCAAGGGAACATAACAGAAACCAGGTGTAAACCATCAATCTGTACAATTTTTAAACAGTGCTGACAAACTAGTGCAAGTTGTCCCTTGGTCTATCTGTGAACCTTGGGCAGGACTATATTAATCTATTCCATTCGGATTTGGCCAAGGGTCAACAACATGATTGGTTCCAGGTGTGTTCCCAAGGATAAACACAGGGTTACAACAGACCAGCTGAAATTAATCCTGTACTTATACCCCATCCTTGGTTAAGCTTTCTTAATTACATTTGTCAGCATTCTTTCTGCTTTTTTCTTTTACATTATAGGACAGAAAAACAGGAAGGATAAAAACCAAAATACTAACAAATACTAACCATTTGTTATACCTGAAATGCAGGTATAACTTTAAAGAAACATTGCAGTTTACCAGATATTCCAGTGCAAACTTGTTTTTAATCATGTATAGGCCTCACAACTCTTACCTCTCTCCACCACAGAAATTTTAATTTTGTGAAATGTATTAATAAGTTGAATCAATGTAACAATTAATTGTTTATTAACTAAGTCTAGTTCTTTCTTTGATCAATCACCTCCATCAGAACAACATCAGGGTTATCAGTGGTAGATATGTAAGCCCACCAAGTTATTCTTTACTTGGTTTCAGGTTACAAAATATTTTTTTTACCTTGATTATTACCCTCCACCCACCAAAACATGGTGTATAGGTAGTAGGGCACATGATACTGTGACTCATCAGGCATGTAACAGGTATTTTATGTCCCTGTATCCAGCCACCTTTCATAACAGATCATCACTCAGGTTCATATTTACACAATGGTCTTTGGCTCTTTTGTTGAACAGATTCTTTTGTACGCCTTTGAGCAGCACCAATATCCTAATTTTGCCTCCCAAAAGGGGTCCTCTGGAATATACAAAACCTGTAAAATGAGAATACGTAAAACAAAAGGAAGCATTAGAATTATTCTAGGTGTTTATCCCCTAGATGTTATTGGCATCATCAAAACATAGCACGTGAATAAGCCCAGATTAAATCCTTCATAAACCTTCCAGAACCCATCTTGGACCTTCAGCTTCAAATAAAGGAGGCTATTTCTGCAGGTGTTATGGGCATCTATAAATATAGGTAAGAGTATTATTCTCTTGCTCTCAGCCTCTTGCAAGGTACCAAGATAATATTAGCTTTTTTTTTTCTTTTTTTGGTATTATTTACTTATTGGTTACATTCCTGAGAATCAAGACTTCTCCATCGTCCATGTGTCATTAATTCTTACCCAGAATTTGGCCCTTGGTTTAGAAGACGATCAGATTCAGCAAGACGCCTGATCCATAGAGCTGGCAACAGTATGAGATTGGCCAGTACTTTCCCCTTTCTTCATTCCCAGTCATAGGAGGCAGGTTGGATAAGTGTGAGCTTATAGGACTGTGTTATCCACTGGTTAGTACAGATGCAGAAACTATTAATCCCAGTTTACACAGATGAAAAGAAGAAACATCACATTCCATCATTCCTCAGACAGATTTAGAGGTATTGTCTTGATGTCTTGTTTGCAGTTAATCCTTTCTTCAGACCTTATAAATGTGATTCATGTCCCTGTACTACAGGATCAGGCAGAGACAAAGAAACATTTTTAGAAATGCAGGAGAAATTTTTAGTGGTTTCTGTGTTACTACCCCACTTCCTCCCTCCCCTGTTTCTCCTACAGTATTTCAACAGCCTCTTCGCTGTTGATTCCCCCTTTAATTAAATGCCTGTTATGTTTTAACACACATTCTGTCATGCAAGCCACTCTTTCTGTCTCTTATTAGAAAGAGATGTGCCTAATTTAGAAAGTAGATGTTTCAAGTTTCAGTTTTCAGTCAGTCCACTACTTTGTGTTTGGTAAGGTATATGATGTCGGTCTATTGTGTATGCTTCTTAGCATGCTGTTGAACTGCACCTGCAGCAAAATGGGTTTCTTTGTCAAGTGATGTATATAAAGGAAGTCCAAATTGAAACAGTTTCTGCTGTGATGTTAAAGGTGTTAAAGGTATTTGCTTTAGTCACCAGGTGTATAAGTCCAAATCCAAAATGAGTGTCTATTCTGGGTAAAACCTATTGCTGTCCACCTGGAACCATAGGTAATAGGCCAGTGTAATTCTATGTAAACATGTATTTGGAATTGCTGGGTCATAATAACTGTGTTTAACCATGTGAGGAACTGCCAGATTGTTTCCAAAAATAATGTAAAATGCACCATTTTACATTCCCACCAGCAGTGTATGAGGGTTCTGATTTCTCCACATCACTGCCAGGACTTATCTGACTTTTTTTTGTGGTACGCGGGCCTCTCACTGCTGCGGCCTCTCCCGTTGCGGAGCACAGGCTCCGGACGCGCAGGCTCAGCGGCCATGGCTCACGGGCCCGGCTGCTCCACGGCATGTGGGATCTTCCCGGACTAGGGCACGAACCCGTGTCCCCTGCATCGGCAGGCAGACTCCCAACCACTGCGCCACCAGGGAAGCCCTATCTGACTTTTTGATTTTGGCTGTACTAGTGGGTGTGAAGTGGTGTCTCATTGTGGTTTTGATTGCATTTCCATGATGACTTAAATGATGTCAAGCATCTTTTCATGTGCTTATTGGCCATTTATATATCTTCTTTGGAGAAATGTTTATTGAGATCCTTTGCCCATTTTTAATTGGGTTATTTTGCCTTTTTACTACTGACTTGTAAGAGTTCTTTATATAATCTAGATACAAGTCCCTTATCTTGATATATGATTGCAAATATTTTCTCCCATTCTTTGATCTTTTCACCTTCTACCTGGTGTCCTTTAAAGTACAAACCTTCATTTTTTTCTTTTGTTGCGTGTGCTTTTGGTGTCATATGTAAGAATTCTTTGTCAAAGCCAAGGTCATGAAAATTTACTCCTGTGTTTTCTTCTATAGGTTTTATAGTTTTTGCTCTTACATTTAGGTCTTTGATCCATTTTGAGTTAATTTTTGTATATAGAAAAAAGTCCAGTTCATTCTTTTACATATGGCTATCCAGGTTGTCCTAGCACCATTTATTGAAAAGACTATTTTTCCCCGCTGAGTGGTCTTGTAATAGAGGGAGGCAGTATGCAGCCCTTAGCACGAAGCCTTTGCTGGGTGCCGTTACTGGGCAACCCATTACCAGGCAACAGTTACTGAGAGACCACTAACTAGAGCCGGGGTTAGGAGGTCCCGCTCAGTCATTGGTCGGCAGAGTGGTGGTCAGGCGGAGCGAGGTAAGAGGCGGATCCTGGCCTCCTCCCTGGGGCCCTCCAGCTCACCTAGCCTCAGGCCAGAGGATGAGCTGGAGGGCCCCAGGGAACAGGCTGGGGGCTGTGTCCTGCAGGGCTCTAGAGCCCTCGCCAAGGCCATCCACTGGCCAGGTACAGGCCTTGAGGTGGCAGTGAACCTCTCCCCCATCCCTACCTCCATGACCTGATGGCGGTGGCAGTCTGCATGGGACACAGTCTGTGGGACCTGGCCCCTGCCATATGGGCGGCCTGAGGAGCCTGAGGGCCAGTTGAGTCCTGGGTGCCTGGCTCCCTCAGTGATGACAGCTGGGCAGGGTCTGGGGACCTGGCCCTGAGGGAGCCACCAACTGAGATCTGCCTCCTCTTAGCCAGGACCTGGACCTTGGAAGGTGAAAGTTGTGCCTTGGGACCTTGCCCTTTCTTGTCAGAACAGAGAATAACATTTGTTTGGTGGAGATTTACAGGAACATGGTTACCTAACCATGACCTGACCTCAAGAACAAAGGATCTGACACCAAGAAGTTTGCAACAACTAACCAAGCCCTCCCTCACTTCTCCTATAAAAAGGTCTTTGCTGAAAGCTTTCAGGGAGTTTGGGGTTTTAAAGGCATGAGCCACCCATCTCCTTGCATGGCCCTGCAATAAACCTTTCTCTGTTCCAAACTTCGACGTTTTGGTATTGTTTGGCCTCACTGTGCGTCAGGCACATGGACTTGTGGTTTGGTAACAGTCTTGGCAGGCTTGTTGAAAATCAGTTGACCATACATGTATGGGTTTATTTCTGGACTCTCAACTCTATCCCATTGATCCATAGGTCTGTCCTTGAGCCGGTACTACACTGTAGTGAGTTTTGAAATCAGGATATATGAGTCTTCCTACTTTATCCTTTTTCAAGATTTTGGATTTTCTGGGTTCCTTGCAATTCCGTATGAATTTGAGGATCAGCTGTTAATGGCAGTTGGATTCTGATAGGGATTGCGTTGAATCTGTAGATAAGATGAAAATACTCCCCCAAACTTAACACTATTAAGTCTTCTAATCCACGACGTGGAATGTTTTTCCATTTATTTAGATCTTTTTCTTTCAACATTTTTTGGTTCCTTTGCAGTTTGTTGTTATTTTCAGAGTTTAAGCTTTGTATTTCTTTGAGGTTTACTCCTATGTATTTTTTTATGCTATTATGGATGGAATTGTTTTCATTTCATTTTTGCAACTGTATAGAAATCTGATTGTTATATATTGATCTTGTGTCCGGCAACCCTATTGAACTCATTTATTAGTTCTGATGGTTTGGGTTTTTTTTTGGATTTTTAGGATTTTCTATATACAAGATCATGTTATCTCTGAAAAGAATTAGTTTAACTTCTTCCTTAACCTATCTGGAATGTTTTTCTTGCCTAACTACCCTGGCTAGAACCTCCAGTACAATATTTAAGAGTCTGGAGCAGACCTCTTTATCTTCTTCCTGATCTTAGGGACAAAGCATCCAATCTTTCACCATTAAGTTTGCTGTTACCTATGGGTTTTTCATACAGCCATTAATGTTTAGTAGCTGCTAAGCCATGTAGTTTAATTATCCTGAGAATTCTTTGTTTTTTAATCCCGTTTGGTCTTACTGTTTCCTTTGTTCTGAGTCATCTTCATCTTCATCTTCTTCCTATCATTCAGCCCCATTCAGGGGAAACTGAGCTAGTAGGTCTATGACAGCCTCCCTCATGACATCGGAAACCCATGTTAGTGCAACCTTGTAGTATGAAACGAAACTTACGGCTTATGCCTACAAGAGACTTGTAATTGAGAATGTATCTAACATGGCACTTGATTTATACCAGTTCACAAAACAACGGGCGAGTGCCATTTTTGTTGGGAAGGCAAAGAAAATACTGTAATGATTCTAGGTGATTTATTTAGTAATGATGTTAGTCTAACTTACAATGTAACTGCTATTTGGTATAACACTGATGTATTTGATAAAAATTAAATGGATTGATTTTTAACAAGACATTTGATAATACTGATATCAATGACCAAATGTATTGGGAATTTTACTTAAAGCCACCACAAGTTGTTCTTCTGATGGAAGGTGATTGGCTAGAGAATTAACTAGATTTAGTTAATAATTAATTGTCACATTGAATCAAGGTATTAGTACATTAGTTCAATTTTTAATGGAAGGAAGAAATATCAAATTTGTGCATAATTAAGAATAAATTTACACTGAAATATTACTAAACTGAGGTGTTAAAAATTAAAGCTATACTTACTGGATGATCAAAAGATTAGAATTTTTGTGTTTATCTTTGTTTTTGTATTCTATAAATGCTATAAAAGATGAAAAATGATGACAAATAATTAGAATTAAGCAAGCTTGTCAAGGGTGGAGAGGGAATGTACTTATATAAGCACAAGATTAATCTCAACTAGTTAATATACCCTGTGCTAATGTTAGGCCAACCCTGAATGAAATGTATTAACTAGTGTTTAAAATAGGCCTGTGCTAGGGTCCAAGATAGACTAGGGGGCAACTTGCACTAGCTTGTCAACATTCTTTAATGGAAAATGTAAAGATTGATTTGCACCTGGTTTCTGTCATGTTTTCTTGTTTCTGCTGTTAAGCCTATTCACGCAGCCTGATTCTGGCTATGTGATCAGAGAGGTATAAAAAACCCTTCCTTGGACAAGACTGGGGCTCCACTGAGACCAGGGTATCTCCACTGTATCTTGGTGGTTCACAGCTGAAAATGAAATGTGTCATATTACTGAGATGGGGTCCTGGGAGCTGTGCCTAGAAGTTTTGGACCCCTCTAATGTTTCCCTATGTACTGTGACCTCTACCCTTTTGTGAGTATAACCCCAAGAATCCCAATTATATGACCCTATTTTATGGCTGCACATACCATCTCATTTTGAAGAAAAGGAGAGTGAGGTGTGACTCTCGTTTTACTTGTTCTCAGAGAAGGTCAGCTATAACATTTATTCAGCCAGCGATGTTATTCGGCTCATACATCACAGAGAAATGTCCTTATCTTGTATTACAAAGCTGTAATTCTTTTTGTTCCTGATTAATTAATCATATTTGCTTTGTTGTGCAATAAACTTTTTACTTTACAAAAAAAATCTTACAAATTTACATTCAAGTTCACAATACATGTAAGAATTTCAGCATTAAGAACCTACCAAAATTCTCTAGTCAAAAAGTTTGACTGCTTGTAATTGGGTTCCAACATTCTGTCAAAATTCAGAATGAAATTCATAGAGTTACAGAATGGAATAGGGTATATTAAGACATAAATACTGTATTATCACAAATAAGTCTGAAATGACAGTCCATGCTACTCACACCATATCCTACTTTCAGCGTAACAAAACTTGAAGAATGTTTTCTTCAAGTAGTTACAGATCTTACATTGGAAGAATGTTGGCCTAAGATTTTATAAATAATTGTGGCTCTCATGAAATGTGTCAGTAATCACATTCCTTCTATTTTCAGTGTAAATGGCACTAGAAGTGTACCTACCACCTATATTTTGAAGAAAAAAAAAAACTATGCCCATCTCACTCCTTTATTCCATGTAATTTTAGGATAGACATGTGTACACTAAAATCCAATACTCCCCCCCAAAAAATTAAAACTTTTAAGAATAACCAAAAGTCTTATTAGGTTTAACCCCTCTTCTTGGGAATATTGAAAATATTACTTGTTACTTGTATCTGAGTTCTGTATCTGATTTTTTTCAGGGGAAACAAGGCAAGCACATCTTATATGGCTGCAGTGAACTTTTTAATGCTACACAGTTCATAAAACAGGTAAAGTGTACTTTTTAGTTTGTTTCTGCTAACATACCCTAAGTTGCTGTTGATATTTTTCAGAAGAGAGCAAGATAATCATGTTCATCTGAACCAGCTGAAACTAAAAGCCATAGAGCTAAAAGAATGTAAGGTTGTACCATGGACAACTATAAAGGAAACTCTTATAAGTAACATTATTTCCATTATCCCAAATCTATGAAAAGGTAAATTTAATTCAGAAAATTTTTAATTGGAGTAGTGTTACTCACTTAGGCTAAATTCATTTCAGCATTTCCTTGACATACTGTCCACATTTCTGACTTTGCCGAGCTGAGAAATTAAGTAACCTTATTAAGGGGTTGTATGTGCTCAGTTGATACAGCAGAATTACATTCACCTTGAAAGTTAATGACAGCAGTAGCTGAGGTGTACAGAATCTTTACATTCTTTTACTATTGTTTCCATGACTGTTCTCAGTAATTACATTAACTTCAACTTTTTAAAGCTTAAACTACCTGAGAGGCTCAATAGGCTGACCAGTAATATCCATTCACCCTTACCTTGGCTGCCATAAAAATCATAACTGTACCCTGTGCTCGTTTCCAGCAACTCTTCCTAGCATCTTTTTCTAGCACAAGTTTCTTACCCACATTATATGGTTCTTGTATTTTTAACCTTAATGAGGTGGCCCAGTGGTATTGTGAGAATTTCAGACATACAGAAAAACTGAAGAGAATTTGCACTGAACACGTGCATACTCTCCATTAACATTTTATTGTACTTGCTTTATAAGATACCTGTCCATCTTTCCATTCTTCATTCTATTCCTTGCTCCACCTGTATTAATTTCAAAGTAAATTGTAGCTATCAGTACACTTCCCCCTTAATACTTCATTGCCAATATCATTAACTAGATTTCATTATTTGTTTAGTTTGTTGTTGTTGTTGTTTTACCTTTGGAGATAAAATTTACAGTAGTGAAATACACGTATCTTAAGTGTACATTCCTAACTTTGTCAGATGTTTCGTTCACCTGAGTATAACCCAAACCCCTATCAAGATACAGAACCATTACACCACAGAGTTCCTTTATGGCCTTTGCCAGTCAATCCTTGCTCCTAGTCAAAGCCTGCTCCCAAAACACTGTCTTGATGTTTTTCCACCATAGATTAGTCTTGTCTATTTTAGAACATCATGTAAATGGAATTTTTCTTCGTTAGATTAACTAGAAGATTCTCAATTTTATTAATTCTTTTAATGAAGCAGATGATGTTAATGCTAATTTTCTCTATTTGTTTTCTTTTTTTTAACCCTTGAATTTTATTTTATTTTTTTTGAATTTTATTTTTTTTTTACACTGGAGGTTCTTATTATCAATTTTATACTCTATTTGTTTTCTGTTCCTTGGTTTCTACTTTTTATTGTTTCCTTTGTGTTGATTACTTTGGGTTTACATTGTTCTTCTTTTACTAGCTTCTGATATTGGATAATCATTAAGTCATTAACTTTAGCTTTTCTTTTCTAAAATAAACATTGAAAATCATAAAATTTAAACTCTTGCCAAACACTGCTTTAGCCACATTCTACAAATGTTGATGTTATGTTTTTATTACCATTGTTGGAAATATTTTTAATTTACCTGGTAGTTTATTCTTTAGCCCATGTATAGAGATCTATTGTTGTTTCAAGTATTTGTGGGTTTCTAGATATCTCACTCTTACTGATTTCTAATTTAATTCCCTTTTTGTCATAGAACATTCTATACATAAGTTCATTATTTCAGAATTTATTTAAATTCCTTTTCTGGCCCAACATATGATCTATCTTGTTAAGCACTCCATATGCACCTAAAAAAGAACATGCATTATGCAGAAGTTGAAGGAAGGGTTCTATAAACATTAATTTGGTCAAGGTAGTTGATAGCATTACTTAGATCCTCTGTGTCTTTATTTTTATTTTTTTTGGTCTAGTTCTATCAGGTATTGAAAGATTGGTTTTAAAATCTCTGACTGTGATTGTGGAATTGTCTCTTCCTTTAGTTCTGTCAATTTCTGCTTTTTGTGTTTTTAAGTTCTGTTATTAGGTACATAAAGACTAATTATTGTATATTCCTGATGAATGGATTCTTTTATATGCAGTATTCCTCTGCATATCTGGTAATGCTCTTTGTCTTGAGGTCTGCTTTATCTGACATTAATATAACCACCCTAGCATTCTTACACTTAGTTTGCATCTTATAACTTTTCCGTCTGTTTACTTTCAACTTGTCTATGCATTTATATTTAAAGCATATATCTTGTAGGTAGAATATAAGTGGATCTTGTGTTGTTTTTTTTAAAACCATTATACAGTCTCTTTTAATTGGAGTCTATTGGTCTATTAACATCTAATGTAATTATTAATATGATTAGATTTAGGTCTAGCACTTTACTGTTTCCTCTGTTCCTCTTTCCTACCTTCCTTTGTATTATTTGAACACTTTTTAGAATTCCACTTTAATTCATCCACAGATTTTTTTTTTAGCTATATCTCTGCATTACAAATTAAGGGTTGCTCTGTTATGCCACTTGCGTTAAATGTAGAAACCTTGCAACCATACATACCCTCAACACTTATGCTGTGATTGTCATATTTTACATCTACATACATCATTAACCTCACAAGACAGTGGACAGTGTTACCATTTGTGCTTCAGTCATGTTTATAACAAAGACATAAATCTTTGCATTTATATGGATATAAATTCCAGTGCTCTTCATCCCTACTTATAGCTTCTTTTTTCTTTTTTTTTTGGCTGCATTGGGTCTGCATTGCTGCATGTGGGCTTTCTCTAGTTGCTGCGAGTGGGGTCTACTCATTGTTGCGATGCACGGAAATTCTCATTGCAGTGGCTTCTCTTGTTGCGGAACACGGGTTCTAGGTGCGTGGGCTTCAGTAGTTCTGGCACGCAGGATCTAGTGCACAGGCTCAGTAGTTGTGGTGCACGGGCTTAGTTGCTCCGCAGCATGTAGGATGTTCCTGGACCAGGGCTTGAACCTGTGTCCCCTATATTGGCAGGCAGATTCTTAACCACTGTGCCACCAGGGAAGTCCCCCTACTTATAGATTTTAATTTCCATCTGTTGACTGAAAAACTGTTAGCATTCACTGTAGCTCTGGTATGCTAGCAGTGAGTTCTCTTAATTTTTTATTAGATGAAAATGTCTTTATTTCACCTTTATTCTTAAATAATTTTATATATATATATATACACACACACACACACACACACATCTGTACATATGTACATATATATAAATATTTTTTCTAGATACAAAGTTCTGGTAGACAGTTTTTCAGCACTTTAAAGATGTCAGTCCACTGTCTTCTGTGTTTCATTGTTTCTTATAGGAAGTCAGCAGCCATTCAGATCAGTGTAAATTTTTTTTTAACATCTTTATTGGAGTATAATTGCTTTATAACAAAGTGAATCAGTTATAATATACCTACATCCCAGTATCTCTTCCCTCTTGCATGTCCCTCTCTCCCACCCCTCTAGGTGGTCACAAAGCACCTAGCTGATCTCCCTGTGCTATGAGGCTGCTTCCCACTAGCTATCTATTTTACGTTTGGTAGTGTATATATGTCCATGCCACTCTCTCACTTTGTCACAGCTTACCCTTCCCCCTCCCCATATCCTCAAGTCCGTTCTCTAGTAGGTCCATGTCTTTATTCCAATCTTGCCCCTAGGTTCTTCATGACCTTTTTTTTTAGATTCCATATATATGTGTTAGCATACAGTATTTGTTTTTCTCTTTCTGACTTACTTCACTCTGTATGACAGTCTCTAGGTCCATCCACCTCACTACAAATAACTCAATTTCGTTTCTTTTTATGGCTGAATAATATTCCATTGTATGTATGTGCCACATCTTTATCCATTCATCTGTTGATGGACACTTAGGTTGCTTCCATGTCCTGGCTATTGTAAATAGAGCTGCAGTGAACATTTTGGTACATGACTCTTTTTGAAGAGTTTTCTCAGGGTCAGATCAGTGTAAATTTATATGTAATGCGTAATCTCTCTCTGCTGCTTTCAAGATTTTATCATTATCTTTGGTTTTCAGCAATTTAATTATAATGTATCTATGCATGACTTCTGTGTATCTTGCTTGGGGATCACTGAGCTTCCTGAGTCTATAAATTTATACCTTCACCAAATTTAGGGAATTTTCAGCTGTTAGTTCTTCAGGAATTTTTATGCCCACTTTTGTCTCTCCTTTTGGGACTCCATTTACATTTATGTTTAATTGTTTATAGTCTCCCACAAATCCCTGAGGATTCTGTTTAATGTCTATAAGTTGCTCTGTCTTCAGATTCAATAAGTCTTTCTTCTGCTATCTCCATTCTGCTGTTTGATATATTTACCAGTTCTTTAATTTTCACTTGGATTTTTTTAAAATGTAGTTTATATTTTTATGTTGAGATTTCCTTTTTTCATTCATTGTGAGCCTATTTTTCATTATTTCATTGAGGATATTGTCCTAGCTGCTTTTAAAACGTGGTCTACTATGGGCCCACCCTTGGGGTCCAGTGGTTAAGACACTGCACTTCCAATGCAAGGGGCACAGGTTCGATCCCTGGTCAGGGAAGTAGGATCCCATATGCCATGCAGCATGGCCAAAAAAAACCCCTGGTCTATTAATTACTACACATGGATCATCTCACTGTTGGTTTCCATTGTCTTTCCCCCTAGAGAATGGCTCCATTTTCCTGTTTCTTCATATATTTACTAATTTTAGATTGTATCCTTTACATTTTGAATGTTGTATTTTGGAAACTGAATTCTATTTCTCTGAAGAGTGTTGGTCAGACCCAAAGTTCAAACTCTGTCTCTTGGGCAGCAGTTCAAATCTCACCTGTTTGTTAGTCTGTACAGTCTGTTGCCCCCAAACTCTTTCCTCTGGTTTTTCAGTCCAGAAAGACTGCAGGTTTTCTGTCAGTTTTAGCTGCCAGTATAGCACCAACTGTGGCCTGCCTTCAGGCTAAGAGCCACAGAACCAGAGAACTCAGTCCGGGCTATTCCCTCCTTCCAAGTGTTGATTCTGTTCCAGAAGCCACCTGCTTTCAGTTGCTCCCCATTGCCTACAGGTAGTTGGTTTTTGTATTTGTTTAAAGTTTATAATTTCTGTCTCTCTGTCATAGACTTGGTGCAATAGTTTACCCAGCCTTCCAGAATTGAAAGCCTTTTCCCTTCCTTTTAATGATCTTTAGAAATATATTAAATATATTTCTAATTTCTTTTAGAAATAAAATATATAGAAAAGTGAACTGTCAGCAGTAAAGTCACACATTATGTTGTTTTTCTTTACATTTTCATAGTGAATTAATATTAATTTTTTTTTCTCAGATTTTTGTTTTCCATTACTTGAATTTACTCCTATATAATGCTTACACATCTTTTTGCCATGACAGTTTTTAAATATCTACGAATCTTAAACATTTGAGTTAGTGGTGAATATTGAATGAAAATGTATTATTCTAGAAATGCAGTGCATGAAATAGAAAGCCTGGATTTTACCATGATAAAAGTGTGCATTTAAGGTGTTTACAAATATAATTCAAGCCCAAGTTTCTTTTGTGATTAAAAACAGTAATATTTATGATTTTATGTTTTGTTTTAGCTGTCACAACTTGGACAAAAATAACACAGAAGAACCTTAACATGAGAATCTGTTTAGAATTTGGATAAACGTAAAAAGTCAAAAGAGCCAGATGTTTCCTTTCTTCATATCAATGTCCTAACAGTGAAACTTAGAGTTATTTGTTAATTTTTAAGGAAATTCTATACTTAATATAATGTGTACTGATTAAAACAATAAAGCATTTCAGAAATAAATTTTAACATTGTACATTATCTTTCCTGTTATGTTTGACAAATGAGAAAGAAAGTACTTTGGAAGGAAGGAAAGCTCTGTCTGAATATAATGTTAAAATATTAATATAATAACCAATATATTATGATTGAAGCTAGTAAAAGTTTAAGAATGTAATATACAAGTGTTATTTCATTGGTTAATGAATCTCCTACATCTCCTAAATTGTATGCATTTTAATTGTAAAATTACCTTCCCATGGTTTGTTTCCCATGTTGCCTCTAGACTTTATAGCCACTTTAATGTCTCTTCTCTGTCTGGCACAGCTACGTACATTTTATCACATAAAATCCCTCCTTTATATAATGTCAAAAGTCAAACATTAACAACATCTGGAACAGGCAAATACAAAACATTTATCCTGTAAAGTTCTAAATAATATGTAAAAGTAAGTGTTAAATTTGATTCTAACCTTCCTATCTGCCTGGCACGCAGCACTAAAAAGGAATGTTGATCAGTCATATATCTCAAGGCAGTCATAAGATAAAAGCAAACCAATCGCTCCAGAGAAAAGAACTGTTCCTATTATAAAGGCCAGGGAGCTTTTCCTTCTAATGAGCCTCATCAAGAGAAATCTGTAGTGTTACAGACAACATCCTGATAATAGATAAAACAACAGATTAATTAACAGAACTGCTTCTTTCCACACCACCACCTACCATGAGTCAATGCTATCGTACCAAAGCACAGGTCAAGAAAAATAATTCTAGGTGGCTAGTGGTTGGCTAATGTGACTTATTCCTGGGATGAAATTTAAAGCATGTTTGGACTGCTATAACAAATTACCATAGGCTGGGTGGCTTATACAACAAAATACTTCTCACAGTTCTGGATGCTGGGAATTCTAAGATCAAGGTACCAGCAGATCCACTGTCTGGTGAGAACCTTCTTCCTGATTTGCAGACAGCCATGTGTCCTCACATGGTGGAGAGTACAGAGCAAGCTCTGGTCCCTCCATCCCCTTTTAAAGGCACTAATCCCATTGTGGGGACTCCACCCCATGACCTCATCCAAACCCAGTTACCTCCCAAAGACCCTACCTCCAAATACCATTACATTGGGGAAAAGACAGTCTCTTCAATATATGGTGCTGGGAAAACTGGACAGCTACATGTAAAAGAATGAAATTAGAAGATTCTTTAACACCATACACAAAAACAAACTCAAAATGGATTAAAGACCTAAATGTAAGACCAGACACCATAAAACTCTTAGAGGAAAACAGAGGCACAACACTATATGACAAATCACAGCAAGATCTTTTTTGACCCACCTCCTAGAGTAATGGAAATAAAAAATAAATGAATGGGACCTAATGAAACTTAAAAGCTTTTGCAAAGGAAACCATAAACAAGACGAAAAGACAACCCTCAGAATGGGAGAAAATATTTGCAAATGAAGCAACTGACAAAGAATTAATCTCCAAAATATACAAGCAGCTCATGCAGCTCAATATCAAAAAAAAAAAAACAACCCAATCCAAAAATGGGTGGAAGACCTAAATAGACAGTTCTCCAAAGAAGACATAAAGATTGCCAACAAACACATGAAAAGATGCTCAGCATCACTAATCATTAGAGAAATGCAAATCAAAAGTACAATGAGGGATCCCTCACACTGGTCAGAATGGCCATCATCAAAACATCTACAAACAATAAATGCTGGAGAGGGTGTGGAGAAAATGGAGCCCTCTTGCACTGTTGGTGGGAATGTAAATTGATACAGCCACTATGGAGAACAGTATGAAGGTTCCTTAAAAATCTAAAAATACAACTACCATATGACCCAGCAATCCTACTACTGGGCATATACCCTGAGAAAAACATAATTCAAAAAGAGTCATGTACCACAATGTTCATTGCAGCACTATTTACAATAGCCAGGACATGGAAGCAACCTAGATGTCCCTTGACAGATGAATGGATAAAGAAGAAGTGGGGCTTCCCTGGTGGCACAGCAGTTGAGAGTCCGCCTGTCGATGCAGGGGACACAGGTTCGTGCCCCGGACCGGGAGGATCCCACATGCCGCGGAGCGGCTGGGCCCATGAGCCATGGCCGCTGAGCCTGTGCGTCCAGAGCCTGTGCTCCGCAACGGGAGAGGCCACAACAGTGAGAGGCCTGCATACCGCAAAAAAAAATAAGTGGCACATATATACAATGGAATATTACTCATCCATAAAAAGGAACGAAATTGATTTATTTGTAATGAGGTGGATGGACCTACAGTCTGTCACACAGAGTGAAGTAAGAAAGAAAAAAACAAATACTGTATGCTAACACACATATATGGAATCTAAAAAAATGGTACTGATGAACCTAGTGGCAGGGCAGGAATAAAAACACAGACGTAGAGAAGGGGCTTGAGGACATGGGGAAGGGGAAGCTGGGACAAAGTGAGAGAGTAGCATTGACATATATAATATGTCAAATATAATACGGATGGCTAGTGGGAAGCTGTTGCATAGCACAGGGAGATCAGCTCGACGCTTTGTGACCAAGAGGGGTGGGATAGGGAGGGTGGGAGGGAGGCTCAAGAGAGGGGATATGGGGATATATGTATACATATAGCTGATTCATTTTGTTGTGTGGCAGAAACTAACACAACATTGTAAAGCAATTATACTCCCATAAAGATTAAAAAAACTAAACAACAAAAAAACGTAATCCGCTGTTTGAAGCAAATATAAAACAGTATATTAAAAAAAACCAAAAAAGCAAAAAGATACATGCACCCCTGTGTTCATAGTAGCACTAGTCACAATAGCCAAAACATGGAAACAACCTAAATGTCCATCAACTGATGAATGGATAAAGAAGATGTGGTACATATACAAAATGGCCATTAAAAAAGAATGAAATAATGCTATTTGCAGCAACATGGATGCAGCTAGGGATTATCATACTAAGTGAAATAAGTCAGAAAGAGAAAGACAAATACCATACGATATCACTTATATGTGGAATCTAAAATATGGCACAATGAACCTATCTACAAAACAGAAACAGACTCACAGACAGAGAACAGAATTGTGGTTGCCAAGGGGGAGTGGGGGAGGGAGAGGGATGGACTGGGAGTTTGGGGTTGGTAGATGCAAGCTATTACATTTAGAATGGGTAAACAGCAAGGTCCTACTGTATAGCACAGGGAACTATATTCAATATCCTGTGATAAACCATAATGGAAACGAATATAAAAATATATAAGTATGTGTATAACTGAGTCACTTTGCTGTACAGCAGAGATTACCACAACACTGTAAATCAACTCTACTTCAGTTTTTAAAATTGAAGAAAAAAATGAGTTAGGAAAATAGTCTTGTCAATGAATGTAAAATAATTTCTTTCAAGCTTGCCTTAAATTCATATAAAATATTCTGATACAGAAACCTTTTTGTGGGACTATAAAGGTTTTGGGCCTTTTAAAGAAATCTCTGGGGAAACTTTGGCCTTTCTCAAACTATCCAAGCTTAGTCCCATCTGTCCTGGTTTGCATTACCTAGCATGGTCATCCACAATATTGCCAGGGTCACAGTTGCTGGTATCTTGGGCTAGGGAGCCCAGCAAGTCTGAACCAGCAAGGCCAGAGCTTGACTGATTCAGAAACCAGTTTCATTTGTCTCCACAAGGGTTATTCTCTTCAGAGGAATTGATTCCTGCCCCGAGAAAGCTCAGATGAGAGGCAAAGATCAATAGGAAAGGGAACTGCTCTGCCAGGTGATTTACAAAAGTTGCATGCATCAATTAATCCTCACAACAGCACTGTCAAGTAGGTGGTACAGCTCCAATTTTATAGATGGAAACAAAACTCAGAGGGTTAAATACCCTGCTCAAAGTCATGGCTGGTACATGGTGGAGCCAAAGACAGCATGCACACCTCTCTGCTCCAAGTCCCACTGCTGAAAATCTCCTGGCTGAGGAAGCAGGAAGCTTGGAGTGTTGCCTAGCCACTCCTCACCGATCAATCTGAGTCAGTCACTTTACCCCTCTTTTTCCTCCTGTGCATAATGAGTGGTACAGAGCAGGGGCATCTAACATGGGGCCCTCCAGGCAATGCAGCTCACCTGAACCAGCCAGCTCAGGATGTTCAACAAAACAAACACCTTACCAATGAGCTCACACACAGGAACTGGCAGGCTCAGCCGCCTGTCTGAAAGAATTTGAGTAGTTTGGCATAAACATGGGAAAGGTCAGATGGGGCTCTACAATGAAAGGGAAAGGCAAAATTATAAAGGACTGAGAGGAAATTCAAGTCAAGACGGAAGTTTGCCCTGAAACGGAAGCTTCTGTTTCCTCACCATTGGGTACTTTTGTGCTGTGACAAACTGCAAGACAGACCCCATCGCAGTGTGATCTAAACTGTGAATTTTCAACTCATGCTCTTAAAATTCACAATTTTTAGGTAATATTCAAAAGAAGGTGAATAGAAGTTGTGTGAAGACTTTTAAACTTACTTAAATAGACCCAGATCATCGCACCATAGACATTTGGAGAATTTTTTTCACGATTTTTTAAGATAGCAAGGCACAGAGCAACCTGACTCCAGGGGCTGATGAAACTGTACCGAGGTGACATGTGACTAAAGAAAACTGGAAACTGAATTTCTGATTTGTTATAGTGACCACATCAAAATAGACATAGACTTAGCAGAGAGAACTAGGGACTATTCAACTTCACTTTGTTGAATTACCCTGGGTTCAACAGAATCATAAATCTCAAAAGTTTATATCCAGCGTTATTTACAATAGCCAAGACAAGGAAGCAACCCAAGTGTCCATCAACAGGCGAATGGACAAAGAAGATGTGGTACATATATACAACAGAATATTACTCAGCCATAAAAAAGGATGGAATTTTGCCATTTGCAGCAACAGGGATGGACTTGAAGGTTATTATGCTAAGTGAAATAAGTCAGACAGAGCAAGACAATACAGTATGATATCACTTATATGTGGAATCTAAAAAT